ATATCTATAGACATATCAATGTTCCAGTCTTTTATTGCACACTATTGAATAATAGTACCTCAGGGCTCTTTAAAAGTATCTGAGAGATGCAAAAACATGAAGTTTACAGGGAAAATCATTTGAATGAATTGTATCTAAAGCCATCAGAGCATCAAAAGTTATAGAGATGTAGGATAAAACTAGGTTCTTTGAGCATATATTGACTTACTAATTGAATTGGCAGATATAGCCGTTTTTTTTAAAGTCTAGTTCTGCAAGATCAACTACATGAAAATCAATTAAATAGATCAACAATTAAATTGTTCTCTCAATCAATGGAACCCCATCAGTTGACAAATTAGAAAATTGTGTAAAAATGTCATTTAGACTACAATTACAGGAAACACCTTGATATTGCATTTACTTTTACAAGTGTTATTGTACTGCCTATTGAAGTAGTGTGGCATCATATTTTCTGGTCCTGTATCAGGTTGAAGTTTTGGTTTACAGAATGTTAAAGTTTTGGTGTAAGGTAGTTCGTAATCACATCAACATGAAATTTAATACAAATGTTAGTTATGATGTGAACAGTTTAATATATATGCCAAATTAGGGTTTTGACCCAGATTTTAGGGTTCACTGCACATGGATATGTGATAGTGTGAATGGGGGATGGTTCCTATTCTACTAATAGATAGACTGTTTAAATGCATGGTATATCAAAGGTAGACCTGGGTTTATATGTCAACAGGACAGCATTCAAAACACATAGATAAATGATTTTACCATTGTTCTAGCTCTTTGTTGTCCAGATACCATTGTTCTAGCTCTTTGCTGTCCAGATACCATTGTTCTAGCTCTTTTTTGTCCAGATACAATTGTTCTAGCTCTTTGCTGTCCAGATACCATTGTTCTATCCATTTGTTGTCCAGATACCAGTGCTCTAGCTGTTTGTTGTCCAGATACCAGTGTTCTAGCTCTTTGTTGTCCAGATACCATTGTTCTCAGAGTCCAGATACCAGTGTTCTAGCTCTTTGTTGTTCTAGCTCTTTGTTGTCCAGATACCAGTGTTCTAGCTCTTTGTTGTCCAGATACCATTGTTCTAGCTCTTTGTTGTCCAGGTCAAGTCGACTCAAGTTGTGAATACAGTTTGATAAGAATACCAAAGATCTGCAATCAACATCAAATTGTACAATACATTTCAGTCCAGAACTAATAACTGTCATATGACCTTATGGGTATAGTGGACCTATAAATCCAGAAAAGCACTTTGGACACTCCATTTATAATGTCTTACTCTCTTACAAGTAAAACACCAGCAGACAGCAATTAGACAAATATTTTATTAATTTTTGCATAATGGCGCTACTTTAAAGGAGCAATATATTCTTAGAAAAAAAGTTTGGATAATCTAACCACTCAATGACTAAGAGATCATTAATACTTAAATGTAAGGATGGTAATTCATAACTTTTTTAGGTGTCATAGCAGATAAACTTCAAGATAAAATCTGTGTTTGGATGAATAGAAAATATTTACACAAGGTTGCACTGTACAATTACCAATATCTAGACTGTTTTATAATCAATTGTAAATATTGCCAATTTATTTTCAAATCCAATTTCATAACATTGCATTAAATTTGCAACAAGTAAATAAAGAGAAAGGATAGCCAAGTATTTTATCAATTTGTAAAAGTGTTTTGTTGGAATAAGTCATCTAATTGTGATTTAGAAGTTGTCATTTCATATTTGTAAAGGATAAACAATTGTTTTAGCAGTTGGTGAATGGATGGCATTGTAAACAATATATGACCACTATGTCATGCATATTTCATAGTCCCTAATTGTTTAGTGAAAACTAGACCAAATTTATGGGTAATAATATGGCATATAATATTGAAACAATCTGTTTTATTTGCATTTCGATATTGACAGATCAATATTTGTCTTGTAATGGTTAATGGTAATTATATTCTTTGCACCAGAAGTCATGTGGAAATGAACTGAGCAGGTTTTTACATCTTTATAGAGACAGAATTAGTTATTATCAGATATGAGTCACTATTCCTGTAATATTAGTAAAGTATTGGTCCCAAAGAAGTGGTAATACTCTTTCCTTAGGGAGTTGTATTCACAGTTGCAGAATTATAAAGGTGCAAATTTGTATTAAACTGGATTTGTTTGCTAGTTGTTCAGGTTGGAAGTGTACCAGTATTGCAGCAATCTTCTGTGAAATAGATTAAACAGATTGAATATTGCATTTTATAATGATAGGTCCCAGAAGATCCATTCAGAAAATTCACATTTATCGCCATATCTTCCTTGTAAACCTTAGATATCTTTGTTGATGTTAAATGTCCAGTTTGGATTGTTTTTATACACTGATGTACCCAGAGCGGTTTCACCATTGTTGTCTCGATTCCTTTGGGTATTGCACATGAATTTATAATACTTTAGAATATGGATTAAAATGATGAATTGTAAATTCAGTAATTTTGCATGCATTTATCTTTATACGACCGCAAACAAATTTTTGTGGTCGTATATTGGTATGACGTTAAATTTTACCATAAGGTTCAATACCACAAAAAGGAAGGTGGGGATTGATTTTGGGGGTTATGGTACCAACAGTTAAGGAATTAGGGGCCAAAAAAGGGCCAAAAATAAGCATTTTTGTAACTTCCAGACATAACTCGTGTGTTAGTGTATGGATCTCTCTGACATTGTACCACAAGGTTCCATATCACAAAGGGAATGCTGGGATTGATTTTGGGAGTACATTTGTAATTGCCTCCAAATTTTAGGAATTAGGGACCAAAAAAGGGGCAAAAAACAAGCATTTTTCTAGAATCCAGACAATAACTTGTGTTCAAGCGTATGGATCTCTCTGAAATTGTACTGCAAGGTACCATACCACAAAGGGAAGGCTGGGATTGATTTTGAGGGTAATACCCTCAAAATTTCAGGAATTAGGGGCCATAAAGGGGCAAAAAAAACAAGTATTTTTCTAGTTTCAGGACAATAACTTGTGTGTAAGTGTATGGATCTTTATGAAATTGTACTGCAAGGTTCCATATCACAAAGGGAAAACTGGGTTTGAGTTTGGGGGTAATTGCCCTAAACGTTTAGGAATTTGGGGCCAAAAAGGGGCAAAAAAACAAGCATTTTTCTAGTTTCCAAACAATAACTTTTGTTCAAGTGTACAGATCTCTCTGAAATTGTACTGCAAGGTACCATACCACAAAGGGAAGGCTGGGATTGAGTTTGGGGTTGATGAATCATAAGGGGGTTCAAAAAATTTTGGGGGGATTTTTTTTCCCTTTTTTTTCTTTAAAATTTTCCATTTAAAATTGGTTATATCTGATTTATATATAAAAGCAAATCATAATTATATGGTTTGAATAGGTAAATTAAATTTTTTTAAGTTTTTAGACCACATTCATTCTGTGTCAGAAACCTATGCTGTGTCAAATATTTAATTACAATCCAAATTCAGTGCTGTATCAAGCTTGAATGTTGTGTCCATACTTGCCCCAACTGTTCAGGGTTCGACCTCTGCGGTCGTATCAAGCTGCGCCCCAGCGGAGCATTTTATTGTAATTGATAAACAGTTGACAAAAATGTGACATTAATTATTGCAATTCCAGGAAATACTGCATACATATAATGCTATCAATTTAAGATGGGAATTTTTATTTTTGATGATACCAATCCTGTTGTAATTTCTGCACCATTGCAAAAATTGATGACATAATACAGTATATTTTTTGCTCTCTGTTTGTATAAATATAAAAATACAAAAACTGTGTATTCATTTATTTTTGTGGGTTCCAATTTTCATGGATTGAGGAAAAATTGTAGTTTCGTGGATATTTTATTTTTTGGTTTTATAAAAGTCTACATACAAACCTATAAACAATTTGAACTTCGTTGAACATTTAAATTTGTGGTTCATCCGTACTCCTGAAATCCACAAAAATTGGTATCCCACGAAAAGTAATGAAACCACAGTGGAAAAAAAAAATGTTTGAGTCAGAATGTTCAGTGGCAAATTATTACTCGTATCTCAAGTATGATTATTTTTAATGAAGAAAGTTAGAGGAGAGGTGTAAGATACCAAAGGGACATTCAAACTCATAATTCAAAAATAAACTGACAATGCCATGACAAAAAAAGAAAAGGACCAAAAGACAAACAACAGTACACATAAGACAACATATAAAACTAAAGACTGAGCAACACGAACCCCACCAAATACCGGGGTGATCTCAGGTACTCTGGAAGGGTAAGCAGATCCTGCTCCACATGTGGCACCTGTTGTGTTTCTCATGGAAGTACAAACCCTAAGTGATAAGTCTAATTGGGTAGGTCGCATTCAGGGAAAAGAGGACAGGATTGTGTTTAAGACAATTAGAACATATCAGTTGTCATCTGTGAAACAGATATTCCATAATGGTGAATCCACTCATGATGGCATCCATAAAATTAAGGAAGGGATGATTTCAACTTTACCACTTGAAACTCTTGGTTTAATAACTTCCTTTTGAGCAGCAACCCTCTATCAAGGAAATCATGATAGGAAATACAAGTCCCTGGAATATTGTATCAATTGGGAGATATATACTTCGTTTGCAGGCGCTGCTGGAATGTTGCTACATAGAAGTGGAATCATCTCTTTTGTCCAATCATTGTCAATTTCTAGATTTAAGTCAAGATATGAAGCAGACTTAACTGTATATATTGTATCCTTTATCTTAAGTTGAATGGGATAGATGCGATCGACATAGTCACCAAACTGAATTATTTAGTGAGAGAGCATCATCTATATAGCGAAAAAAGAAGTTAAATGATAATGCTAACTTCTTTTCTTTCTTCCTAAGAAGCTCCTGTATGAAGTCAGCATCATATGAATAAAGGAACTAGTCGGCAAGACTTGATGATAATGAAAATATGAAGATCCTGTAATGAAATATGATAAACATGTATATTATGGTAACTTTTTCAAATTTTCTATTTCAGATTATCAAAAATTTAACTCATGTGCGAGTCGATTCACATGTAACAACAAATGGTGCATTGATGAAGATTTAGTGTGTGATGATATCGATCACTGCACAGATTCCAGTGATGAATTAGATACTGGGCCTTCTAACTGTGGAGAAGATGGTACGAGTTAATTGGCTTTTTTGTTTTGTTTAAGAACCCTTCAATAAAGGATAGGGACAATCAATTATTACAATTGTTTTTTAATGAATTTTGAACAAAAAATATATATTGTAGGCATTATAGGAATCAAATAATGTACTGTAAATTCAGAAATTATTGTGTGCATTTATTATTGCGATTTTTTTAAGAATGTAGAAAAATGCGAGATTAATTATTGCGTTTTCAGGAAAATCTGCATACAGGTATATGAATCAGATATCAGAATGCGAGTTCTTATTAGTGCGATTTTCACCCAGTCGCATTTTTCGCATAAATTAAAACCTCGTAATTATTTCTGAATTTACAGTATTACTACAATACTTAACATCTAAAGAAACAAAACACTGTAAATTCATTTAGTATCGTGGGTATCAATTTTCGTGGATTGAGGAAAAGTTGTATTTTTGTGGATGTTAGATATCATGCTTTGCCAAAGTCTGAGAGAGTATAGAAAATTTGTAATTCGTTGAACATTTAAATTTGTGGCTTACCTGTACCCATAAATTCCACGAAAATTGATATTCAACAAAAAATAATGAATCCACAGTACTACTCTAATACCTATATTACAAGTACTGAATTCTAATTTTATGTCTTTTATAAAATAGTAGAAATTATAAGTATGTAGGTATGGTATCGACTATTATGGTGCGTTAACTATGTCTGTCGATAAGATCAGCAATAATAAAGGCACACATTAAATTCTATATCTACAATATCAAAACAGTCAAATCAATAGTTGTCGTTTGTTGATGTGGTTCATAAGTGTTTCTCGTTTCTCGTTTTTATATAGATTAGACCGTTGGTTTTCCCGTTTGAATGGTTTTACACTAGTAATTTTTGGGGCCCTTTATAGCTTACCGTTCGGTGTGAGCCAAGGCTCCGTGTTGAAGACCGTACTGTGACCTATAATGGTTTACTTTTATAAATTTTGACTTGGATGGAGAGTTGTCTCATTGGCACTCATACCACATCTTCTTATATCTAAATGTTGCATATCAGAAATTCTGTTAGGAATTTTAATTGTGCTGATTTATAGACAAACTTTTTTATTCCTTAAAAATATTTAATCAAAATAGTTAATACAGAATAGGGTTTGTGAGTTAATATAAATAAAATAAGTCACCTCAGAACACACAGAATGTTTTTAACAGTCTGCAAGAGCTGGCACCACATATGGCAAGCTAGATATAGCCAGGAAACATCTATATAGATGTAACTGTAACAACTCAGTCTATATTTTACTCTTATGCTTTTCTACCAATATGTAACATTTGTTATCTTTCTGACAAGAAGGAAAAAGAGGGAGGGTTGAGAACTAAAAAATCCCTAAACTAGTTAATTAATGTGTCAATGTGCTTGTCCCTAGTAAAAAATCTTGTAATTAGGTTTATGTTTTTGTTTGGCATGAATATCCTTTTTCAGAATTTAGTGATGGTAACTGGTCCTTGGTAGTTTTTGATTAATTTATCCAGACAAATTATCATGTCTTTTCCATGTACATGTATCAATTTACTACTTAGGGTTTATTTTTAGATCTTTGATGGTCTTTTTTGAAGCTTATTCATGTCTGTTTTTATAAAAATAAGACTTGTGTACAATGTACAATGATTTCACTGAAGGCTCTACTTATAATAAAGTTGTTAAAAAGATAACTATAAAATGTATGATAAAAATTCCAATCAGATAAGAAATCTTATGAGAATATTGTGAATCTAAGATCAGATTTATATAGCATGCAGATCATTATATTTGCTGTTCACATGAAAACTTCATCTTTGATGCTTGGCTCCTGACAGCGGATATCAGCGCTATCATCCTTCTATCATACAATGTTAGGAACTATATAGGCTACATCAATTCTGCAATCCACTCTAGAGAAATCATACAATTTGTTTTGTTAGAATGTTAGAATGGACAAGGGATTTATAAATACACATCATATAATATCATATAGACATATTATTTTCTCTCTTTATAAGCACATCGGAGAGTGAGGCCCAGGATAGTTTAAATCAATAAAGGTTGTTTGAAATTTCAAAATTAAAACTAATTTCATGTCGAGTCAGCAATTTTGAACAAGCTTTTTCAGTATGAAAACCACACTGGATAAATATAAATAGACCTTGGACCAGTCAATCTTAATTTCCCTTGGAAGTCTTTTATTGTTCTGTAAAACTTGTTATATAGCTATATTTTGATATGATATTGTTTGTACATTGATATAGTTATAGTTTTATATGCATTTTGATTATGTTGAGATAATGAGATTACAAGTAGTCTAGGGATTTCATTGCCAACATTAGATTCAGATTTTACAGATAAATTGTAATATGTTGTAATTCCGTTTCATTAGAATGAAATCTTGCATGTAAGCTTTGATTAGTACTCACTAAAACATTTAGATGACTTTGAAGTTGTACAAGGTTTCTAGGTACAGATTTCAGATTTGTCAAAAATAGCACTAATCTTTGTTGATTTTATTTCTCTACCTCTGAAATCTACACCCTTAATAAGGCTGATATTATGTAATTTCTTTTCAAGTAGGAAATAAATTTAAAAAAATAATGTCAAAGTTTTTCAAGTTATGGCATTTTAATTCAAATAAAAATCAAAAGTTTGGACTTGAAAACAATTACCAGTAATCATATTACACAATTTCACCAAATGCTTCCTGAATCATGTACTGTTTATCTTTAGATTTTAGAATAATTTACATTTTCCCTAAAATTATTACAGTTTTAAAACATTAAAAGTGTATAAACACATCAATAAAATTGTAATCTTGATAAATTGGGAACTACAGAGTAGAACTCATTAAAGAAACTGTATGTAAAAAATCTGAACTTAACCCTTTGATATTATTGATATATTATACTTCAAAACCTAAATAAGAAATTGAAAAAAAAAGATAAAAAGAATTCTGCTATTGACCTCACACTCTTAAACAGCATACCAACTTTGAAAAAAAGATGATAGATAGTTGTACCAGTAAGTGCACTAGCTAATGAGGGGCTTCATTGTATTTTAAGCGAGATAACTGTAAAACATTAAAAAAAAATATGAAATTTAAACAATATTTTACATAATAGTCTTAGATAGGATGCTGATGAACTTTTTTACAATTTTTGTGCATAATATGTAGATGTACTTATGTGATTTTTTTGTGAAATTGGCAAATAATTTAGGAAAAAACTTACTTTATTTTTTTAAATATCAAAATTTGAGAAACACCTTTTCTTAAAAATGGATTTAAACTAAATTTAAAATATAGGTATAATACATATTTCAATATGATTCCTAGTGACAAAAAAAAAAACTTTTATTTTTTATGTAGAACATATCCTGATTTATTTCCTGGTGTCAAAATTTTAGAAAAATGATACCCTGTGAAGATTTACTGCTTTGTTTGCATCAGTATTAATTATAAGGGTGTGTGCCTCAAACAAAAATGTGCAAGCCAGGCCCTTTCTGACAAATCAGTTTTCTCGTTCATTGAACTTTGATTAAGGACACAGACGGGTAACAATTAAGAATACTGTAACCATACCTTTTACATCAACTTGTAGGGTTTGCATTCTTTTTTTTTCTCTCTAAATTCTCATAAATTGACATCTGCTTGAGGACAAAGACCTGTAACCATGGGGGACACTGTAACCATGTCTTATCCCAACAATCTTTAGAGCGCGTCCTCTTTATTACTCGTGCTCAGCATTAATTGAACTTTTATTGAGGACAAAGGAATAAAACACAAACTTCCAGGAGCGCAACTAGTCTTAATATCTGATGGAATTGACGTAATCTTTTATCAATATTAAACCCAGGTCTTAGAATCTTGAAAAGTTATCAAAAGTTATGGTTTTTATGAAGACTTTCAAGCAGAGAAAACAGTATTAATAAATCCTATCTGAAAATGATCTTTCACTAATATTTTTAAAAAGATAAAAATATGTCATTTACCCAGCTTCAGTTTAAAACATATGTTTATAAAATCAATGTTTTTATCTGTTTATTGTGAAATATTGGGTAAATATTTATCTTAACTCACAACATTGCTCTTTATAAAGATTAAATTTAGCATCAATAAAAGAACTGTTTATTGTCAGTCTTCCTAGTTCTTTTGTTGTTTTTGTTAGACATAAAAATGCAATTTTGTGCATTTAAAATAGATTTCTTTGACAGCATTGTTTAGGGATGTTCTTTCTCAAATCTAGACGTTCATTGTGTGTTTTTTACTATGTACACGATCTGAGGAAGTAAGGTTAAAGCTACTGCTAATACAGAAAACTTCTGAAAAAATTAAAATAAAGGAAACAATAGTAGGGTCTTTTCAACATTGTGTGTAATTATGATATTATTGGTGTAGTATTGTGATCTTACTATTGACAAAATTCCATGCTTTATTGACAAATTTGTTGACCTTCAAATTGGAAAAAAACATCCATTTATTGAGCTTCTGTGACAGGTAAAACAGTGCATACTCATTTGAAGGTTTGTATTCTTATTCTTGACCTGAGAATTTGTAGATATTTGGAAAAAAAATTGTTGGGGGTTGGTCCTTTTAACTGAAAATAGCTAGCTCTCTTTAAAAAAAGTGTGCCATATTCAAGCAATGGAAGCTTAATACAGAAGAATAAAAGAGCAAAAGTCAATAATTGGGTACATAGTGGTATTTCTTTTATGACTGTAGAAGTTATTTCAAGTTTATGATACCCATCTAAATCTTGATAAACTACACACCTTAAGCTTTAAATTAACATTTATACCTTAGAAACAGTCAATGTGCTATTTATCATGAGTATATAAAGTATATGATTGCTTTTTCTTACATATTGGTATATATTATGCAATCATAAGATAATTTGGAAACATTTTGTCAGCATAATTAAAATCTTGTCCCTATTTTTATCTGTTTTGTTTTTCTACTGAATTATCTGTCTACTATTATTTCAGGATAAAAAGGAAAGAAATAAGATTACTTTTAATTTGTTTTTTACTTCCAGATCACATACATTTCGCTAGTTATAAACAGACCTATTACAGAAACATGATTTTACCTCGTAAATTGTACAGGGAATCAATTGAAATGTTAACATCTACAAAATCATTTGTCCTGCCATTATAGATGTCTATTATATCCTCGTAGATATTCTCTAATCACATTTTCGTGCTATTGTATATTAACTTAGTTATCCTTTTATGTCGTTAATTATCTCACCATAATTGACATGTTGAAATCGATGAAAAAACAAAAACTATCTACCAGTAATCTGGTAAAAGAGATTGTTTGGTAATGTTTCGGAATTTTCTGAAACTCTTTTGATGATATATTTTTTCATCAGATAAATGATTTGTGATAAATTAAGTAATTTCTCCAGCTTTGATTTTGAGTCTAGAATAGTACAGATCAATAAAGACATATGATATAATGAAAAATAGTCATGCAATTACAGAAAAAAAATTTGTTACTTTATCAGCTTGAAGACCTTTAAGTAATTCCAAAGTTAATGGTGTTTTTTCTCTGGTTTAGTTAATTAAGTTGATTGACTTAGGTTCAGATATTTACAACAGTTTAGACTTTCTCTTTCACAACTGTTCAATAGTGAGGGTCGGTTTCTTGTTTCCATGAATGTAATAATTTTCAGCTTTTACACTCTTGATCAAACTTAGAGCAAAGGGTCATTATTTTATAAAACCCACAGATTTTTCAACCAATTTGTAAGTGATTTTTTTCACTTTTTGAAATGTTCCTCTTGATTACAGCTGCCAAGTCACTATGGCAACAAATTTTACATAACTGTTATACCCACATAACTTAGTGGGATAAAAAGGACCAAAATCAGACATTAATATGGTACATCGAATCAAATCACTGAATAGCCTTTATAAAACTGTGTCAAGCGAAATTCTTGGTCCATAGTCACTCTTGATATACACTTATTCAACATTCTTGTGTCATGATGTTGTAGTCAAATTCACTTCATTGAATATTTAAGCATCATGATATTTTCTTTCTTTTCCAGAAAGCCATTTCCTAGAAAAGTTTTTCTCCCTTGGGATAACAGCATCAGTGACAATAACTGTTGGAAGTTTAATTGTAATTATTGTGTTTATTGTGGTAATAGCGTGTTGTTGTCGACGAACTTTTTGTAAACCACACCAGGAAACAAGTGGTACAACTTCAACCGCCACTTCTATTGTGGCTAATGGTACACCTATACCAAACCAAGGTAAGGTTAATGATTGGTACACCTTTATCAAACCAAGGTAAATTTAACTATTGGTACACTTATACCAAACCAAGGTAAGGTTAACTATTGGTACACCTATACCAAACCAAGGTTAAGTTAATCATTTGTACACCTATACCAAACCAAGGTAAATTTAACTATTGGTACACCTATACCAAACCAAGGTAAGGTTAACTATTGTTACACCTATAACAAACCAAGGTTAAGTTAATCATTTGTACACCTATACCAAACCAAGGTAAATTTAACTATTGGTACACCTATACCAAACCAAGGTAAGGTTAACTATTGGTACACCTATAACAAACCAAGGTTAAGTTAATCATTCGTACACCTATACCAAACCAAGGTAAATTTAACTATTGGTACACCTATACCAAACCAAGGTAAGGTTAACTATTGGTTCACCTATACCAAACCAAGGTTAAGTTAATTATTGGTACACTTATACCAAACCAAGGTAAGGTTAACTATTGGTACACCTATACCAAACCAAGGTAAGGTTAACTATTTGTACACCTATAACAAACCAAGGTTAAGTTAATCATTCGTACACCTATACCAAACCAAGGTAAATTTAACTATTGGTACACCTATACCAAACCAAGGTAAGGTTAACTATTGGTTCACCTATACCAAACCAAGGTTAAGTTAATTATTGGTACACTTATACCAAACCAAGGTAAGGTTAACTATTGGTACACCTATACCAAACCAAGGTAAGGTTAACTATTGGTACACCTATAACAAACCAAGGTTAAGTTAATCATTCGTACACCTATACCAAACCAAGGTAAATTTAACTATTGGTACACCTATACCAAACCAAGGTAAGGTTAACTATTGGTTCACCTATACCAAACCAAGGTTAAGTTAATTATTGGTACACTTATACCAAACCAAGGTAAGGTTAACTATTGGTACACCTATACCAAACCAAGGTAAGGTTAACTATTTGTACACCTATAACAAACCAAGGTTAAGTTAATCATTCGTATACCTATACCAAACCAAGGTAAATTTAACTATTGGTACACCTATACCAAACCAAGGTAAGGTTAACTATTGGTTCACCTATACCAAACCAAGGTTAAGTTAATTATTGGTACACTTATACCAAACCAAGGTAAGGTTAACTATTGGTACACCTATTCCAAACCAAGGTAAGGTTAACTATTGGTACACCTATAACAAACCAAGGTTAAGTTAATCATTCGTACACCTATACCAAACCAAGGTAAATTTAACTATTGGTACACCTATACCAAACCAAGGTAAGGTTAACTATTGGTTCACCTATACCAAACCAAGGTTAAGTTAATTATTGGTACACTTATACCAAACCAAGGTAAGGTTAACTATTGGTACACCTATACCAAACCAAGGTTAAGTTAATTATTGGTACACTTACACCAAACCAAGGTAAGGTTAACTATTGGTACACCTATACCAAACCAAGGTTAAGTTAATTATTGGTACACTTATACCAAACCAAGGTAAGGTTAACTATTGGTACACCTATACCAAACCAAGGTTAAGTTAATTATTGGTACACTTACACCAAACCAAGGTAAGGTTAACTATTGGTACACCTATACCAAACCAAGGTTAAGTTAATTATTGGTACACTTATACCAAACCAAGGTAAGGTTAACTATTGGTACTATTGGTACACTTACACCAAACCAAGGTTAAGTTAACTATTGGTACACTTACACCAAACCAAGGTAAGGTTAACTATTGGTACACCTATACCAAACCAAGGTTAAGTTAATTATTGGTACACTTACACCAAACCAAGGTAAGGTTAACTATTGGTACACCTATACCAAACCAAGGTTAAGTTAATTATTGGTACACTTATACCAAACCAAGGTAAGGTTAACTATTGGTACACCTATACCAAACCAAGGTTAAGTTAATTATTGGTACACTTACACCAAACCAAGGTAAGGTTAACTATTGGTACACTTACACCAAACCAAGGTAAGGTTAACTATTGGTACTATTGGTACACTTACACCAAACCAAGGTAAGGTTAACTATTGGTACACCTATACCAAACCAAGGTTAAGTTAATTATTGGTACACTTACACCAAACCAAGGTAAGGTTAACTATTGGTACACCTATACCAAACCAAGGTTAAGTTAATTATTGGTACACTTACACCAAACCAAGGTAAGGTTAACTATTGGTACACCTATACCAAACCAAGGTAAGGTTAACTGTTTGTACTATTGGTACACTTACACCAAACCAAGGTAAGGTTAACTATTTGTACTATTGGTACACTTACACCAAACCAAGGTAAGGTTAACTATTGGTACACCTATACCAAACCAAGGTTAAGTTAATTATTGGTACACTTACACCAAACCAAGGTAAGGTTAACTATTGGTACACCTATACCAAACCAAGGTAAGGTTAACTATTTGTACTATTGGTACACTTACACCAAACCAAGGTAAGGTTAACTATTGGTACTATTGGTACACTTACACCAAACCAAGGTAAGGTTAACTATTTGTACTATTGGTACACTTACACCAAACCAAGGTTAAGTTAACTATTGGTACACTTACACCAAACCAAGGTAAGGTTAATTATTGGTACACTTACACCAAACCAAGGTAAGGTTAATTATTGGTACACCTATACCAAACCAAGGTAAGGTTAACTATTGGTACACCTATACCAAACCAAGGTAAGGTTAATTATTGGTACACTTACACCAAACCAAGGTTAAGTTAACTATTGGTACACTTACACCAAACCAAGGTAAGGTTAACTATTGGTACTATTGGTACACTTACACCAAACCAAGGTAAGGTTAACTATTGGTACACTTACACCAAACCAAGGTAGGTATATCAAATAAAGTACATGAACATCAGTTTGTTTTAGGAAGTTAACATAACACTGACAGTAGCAGGTAAAGGCTAAACACAGGGTTCTGCAGATTTTCAAAATTAAAGATCATGCCGCCCAGCATGCATTGCAATAGAACATTGATATAGACAACCTTATAATGACAGGATTCAGACATGCTGAAGGTTGTGTAATATTGTAAAGAATGGCAATACACAGAAATTATGTAATACTTTATAAAAATATGATTGGAGTGCCATGAAAATATCTGCCTAATCCAGGAATCAACAAAACCATGTATGATTGTTCATCTCATGAGACATTGCATTGATAAATATTTCACATCTCTATTTATTCATATTTTCTGAAGAAAAATAGCATATTCATAAATTGTGAATTTAATAAGCTAATAACTTTGTTATAATGCATCTGCAGAGTGAAGTAGACCAGGGTACAGTAGACTATATTTGTATTTAAATACACTCGAGTGCTACTTATATATTCATTACATAATATTGAGAATACGTAATTAGATACTTTTTTTATTTATAAAGAATTGAATGCATCATAAATGTGTTTTATTGGCATGTAAAAGCATTGACCAAAGTACATTTTGTATGAAGGGTTAAAGCCAGAATTATATAAAATTTTATACATGTATATGTTATTATTATTTTAAAATAAAGAAAGTAACCAATTACAAATTTTAAAGGCAATATTTTTTAACATAATATATACGAATATCTGAATTTTTGAACTAATAAAAAGGTTAAGAATACAGTAAATTGAAGAATATTAAATTAAGTGGAAACATTTCAAATACTTAAATGTACAACTTTTATTAAGAACAGATTTCAAGATATCAATAAGAATAATTACATCTACAAGGGCAGTAAAATAAATATTACTTGTTTAACAGTCTTCAGACTTTTTAATTGATAATAAATCTGTAGCTATACATTAAATTGAAGCTTAATATTGAAAAATATAATTGGAATCTGGAAAAAAATGATAACCATAATATTTTTATGCTCATTAACATACAGAAGTAAAAACAGTTCCTGTAGTAATAAAATCTGTTCAATTTTTGTATTGCCTTGAAGAATTCATGGTCCATTTATTGACTTCGAAACATTTGCTTAGTTTAAATGATAAAGTTTGTGATTAGGTCAGTTTAAAGGGAACCACTAATGATAATTCAATGATATTTGGTATGCAGTTGTATTAGCATTAGAAAATCTATCCATGGAGATTATATGACCCCTCCTCATCAGTCATTGTTCTTTGACTTTGGAACTGTTGCATAGTTAACATGTTAAAGTTTGTGATTTGCATAATTTACATGTATTGCCATTTTAATTTCAACATTTGTATTTGCCTATCAAAATTGCATACTGAAGAGACATATCTCTGTGTCAATAATTTATTTAGTCTTTTATATTTTAGGTCACCAATATCCTATACACCATCATCCCCAGCAGTACCAACATTCTCATCAAGGATATTTCCCGATGCAGCCGGTATATCCAACGAACAATCATACGTCAATGTACACACCTTACATGAGGGAAGGATATATTAATGCTCCAAGTGTTTATTCATCAAATTCTCAGACTCATTCACAGCCAACATCTTATCATCGGTCATACACACCGACAAGTTCCCGATCGGGGAAATCAAATAAATCTAACAATAGTACATCAGTGACATACAGTCAAGGAACAGACAAAGTGACGTTACCTGTTAATCTGTAGCCTTCATTTCTACGAAGTTTGTTTTATTCAACTGGGTCTCTCACATTTTTAAACTTTTCAAAAGAAAGGGCGAAAAAAGGAAGATATGTAATATGGCTCCTTGTGAAACCATGTTAATACATTTGTATAGAATCCAAGGACAAATTTAAAACAATTAGATCTAACTTAAGTTTTCTGTCTGCTCATAAGGTGGATTGGGAGTGCTTGGTTTTATCTGCTCGATATGGTGCTAATGATAATGTTCAGCAAAAATGACTGAATTACATAATTTACAACCTAATAAAACACTTTTCTTTTGCTTCTAATTTGTTCTTATCTTTATTTTTTCAACAAATATAAGGAAAAAAGAAAAGCAGGGATTTTTTTAATTTAATTACAAACAAATGTGAGAGATTTTAATTTGATGAAACATGCTTTTATATAGATCATACTGGTTGTGAATATTTTGAAAACTGTTATTTATTACATTTTTATAATGATATGTTTTATGAACTTAAGTAGTTTGAATCCTTTATCAAATTTTAACTGGTTTGTGAGAAAAGTGATCAGAACTGAATAGCCAAAGGGAGATAATCCAAAATAATTCATGATACATTTTGGCCTCCAAATACTATATTACAGTCTTTGTAGTTTTTGACAACAAGAATTTTAAACATTTTGGTTAAACTCTGCAATCAATTTCACAAAAAATCTTAACGAGAAAAATACTTTAAGTCATGAACATTTCAGTATAACTTAAGATCAATTTTTGTAGTAAGATTTTTTGTGAAAAGAGCCCCTGTTCCTTAGTTAGTTTTGTACACACATGAAGTAAATTTTGACCAACCTTGATTTTAACATGTATCCAGGTAATTGTATTTAATGGGTTGTATTACACAAGTGGACAATTCCCTTGGTGTCATTGTATTATGACAATTCCCTTGGTGGCATTGTATTATGACAATTCCCTTGGTGGCATTGTATTATGACAATTCCCTTGGTGGCATTGTATTATGACAATTCCCTTGGTGGTATTTTATTATAACTTTTACCTTGAGTATTTTAGTTATTGTTATATTTTGTTGATGGTGCAGACAATCATGTTTTATTTTATTGTTTTACAATATTTTATGTGTTATTATTATTACACTAGGACTAGTTTTGTTGTTATTATTACGTCTCATAAAATACTGATGAAAAACATTAATGTTGTAACTTGTAGCCTAATACTGTTAATTCAAAAATTTATCGCTTGCATTTATTATTCTGAATCGCTGATCAATGACATGATTGTGATCATGAATTAATGCAATTCAAGTGCATGTTGTAATAAAAAACATGCTAGAGAATGTCAAAGTATGATTGTTTATTAATGAAATTCTCTTTTTGTTGCATTTTTCGCTTTGACTAAAACATCATGACAATTTATAAGTTTAATAGCAGTATCTGTTTCAAGGTAAAATTGAATTTGATTTTAGTTTAATTCTTATGGAATATACCTTTGAAGAAGTACTTGAAATATCAGACAAATAATTATTAAACATGTATTACATCAACCAAATCTCCTGTGATACAGGTAGGTAACTCAAATTTAAATATCAATATTAACTATTGATATAGTTTGCATTTTTCAGGGTACATTTATTTTGTGAAAATATTAATACAATATAGTCATTTATTTTATAAAGTAATCTTTTCAATCATCATACTTTGATAGTTATTCGTAATATTTTACAGATTGTTAGGAGAATTCATGAAATTTCAATATATATTTTATGATTGGTAAGAATTTAATATAGAAACAGTGCCATTAAATATCCATAGTATTCAAAGACTAGCATAACTGAAATAATTTAAGATCTCATCGTCTCCAATTCTCTCCAGCTAATGATGAACTTCTCATCGTGAATGAAATATAACAACTGCATTATTTGGATTAGGAATATTTGTATTAGCATAGCTATTTGAATGAATAATCATGGCTTTTAAATTGCTTATCTTGCCAAAGACATGTATATTTAGCTTGACGATTATGTTATCCCACCGACATTAAACAATCTACCTCAACTATGTAAATTAAAATGATATTGTCATTTTGTCCTGGCTATATGGATCTGTCCTTATTTAAGTGTAAAGTCAGCAGAACATTGGTTCATGGAATCAATAAAATTTGCATTTCAAGTTAATCTTGGTATTGAAATCATAATTCAAAAATCATCAAACAAATGCTTTATTTTATAGTGGTTGTATCATATAAAGAATAAAAGGTAGAGGTATACTGGTTTGCGTCTGCCAGTCGCATGAAGTTTTTTGAGACACTTTTCTCAGGAACTACAAATCAGAGATTCCTAAAATGGGTATATCAAGCTTCATGGGAGCATGCTATACTGTATGGTGCATTTTCAGATTCATCCCTCAACATCTCCCTGATTACCAAATATTTTTATATTCTTACACATAATGGTCATGTATTAGATTTTCTTCACATCTTTTTTAAGAAATTACAGATCAAGGCTTTCTGAAATTTGGAATAAAGCTTCATGTGAACATACTTTACCATGTGAAGCAATTTAACATAATTGCTGATCTATTTCTTTTTTACCCATTTTTTTTCTCCATGGAAGAAATTAAAGTTAAAAAGGATACAATGCATAAAATAGACAGTGTAATATATATATGTGTGTCTGTCCGTCCGCTTGGATTATAAGTAGCACAGAATTATTTTTTGTTGGATTCAATTCCAATTTTAATATTTGCATTTGCTTGGGTTGTGAGTAATTAGAATTTTTGCTAGATTTGTATTAATAAGGTTAAAATTTGTTGAATTTATTGAAATTTTCTAGCATTGCCTCATACTCAATTCATATACAATCAAATGGCATTAAAAATAATTGTCACTACTGAAACTAAAAATTGTCACTACTGAACTAAAAATAATGAAAATGTTATGTATACAATTTTTTTTTCTGTTTATTGCAAAAATAGAGAAAATGGCTGTGGTTTGAATTTTTTTTAGTAATTTTAATTGGATGCCTGATAAGGTGACTAGATCTACTATTTTTTAAAGGTTCTTTTGTTTAAAATGTGGCTTATTAACTTTTTATACATCCTTGGCTTTCTAATTTGAGGTTTTCAATATTCTTTATAAAGATAGATAAAAAAACAAAAAGGGCTTTGGATGGATCCAGTTTATAAAGTTTTATTGTCATTTATTAACGCACAGCCAGTTCTATTTATTGTTATTGTTATGCCTCCTTGTAAATTCACATGCTCAGCTCCTATAGGCAAAACCTCGGCTTTCAAATTTTTTTTGGTGAAAATATTTACTTAGATTCTCTAAGATGATTATCATGATTAGAAATGATGGAAATCATTGTTAAGAATTATTGTCACATAACTGAAATCCATTCATTTATATTAGCCAGGTGCTACAATGTCCATGGAAAACATAAAATAATCATATCATTCACTTTTTTTACCCAAAAAAAAGTTATACTAGTAGTTTGTTTTCCATATTACCAGATTACAAATGAATAAAAAAAACATTTTTTTTTTGTTAACCCTGGTCTTCTTTACTTACAAGTTCGTTCAAAGTTTTTAAAAGACCAAACACTTTGTAAAAGGCTACAAATTTGAGAAGTTTTTATTTTATTTTTAATTCACCAATATACCATGCTGTATGAATATATTGTTATAAGGTTTTTTGCCTATCTGCATACCCCAAAGGATTGGACACACAAACCTCTAAGTGTTAAAGTTCTTATTTTGTAAAGTGTTAAAGTTCTTATTTTGTATGGATTTTAGGGTTATTCAAAGGCTGGACCAATCTAAAATTAATATTTTGCTGTTAAACCATATATCAAAAACCATTGTTTTTTTACAAACCATAAACAAAGTACTTGCACAGTAATATTGGAATGCTTAGTAGATCTGTTTTACTAAGTAATCTGTAGTTTGACTGAATTATAGCTTTAAACATGCATTTTGATAATTTTATTGCCGATATTTTTTTATTTGTATAACTGAACATTGCATGCTAGGAGTGTATGTATGTATATGTTATCATTCTCATTATAAAGTTAAGTTAAATGTGCAATATAACACCCCTCCCCCTTTTCCCCTATAATCATGATAGCATTATTAAGATTGTGTAATGATTGTTCAGTTTCAATTATTTGCATTGGGTTGTAAAATAGACACATTCACACGACTCTGACTCATATACTGTTCATTACAAAATCTGTCACTCAATTTACTTTCAATTACCGGTAGGTGTTCTAGAGAACTATGAGTAATTTCATTATTTGCACCCCAAAATGAAAATATCAATACCTTATTGGTTGAATTTCTGTTGTTAGGGACACTTTTAATTCACACAACATTTTGGTGTAGTCTTTTAAAATTTTTACCCAGAATGCATTAGATTCTGAAAATTTTTGTATCCATTTGCACTTCAGGGAGAAATAAATGCTATTTTTCATGATAAAAACTGTCGCTCATCAGTCGACTCATATTGATGCTTGCATATTTGAATAAGGGTCTGTTGTGCAAATAAATGGTCTGTTACAACTAAATGATGATTGAAAATGTCATACTTAATTGAAGAGAATAAATGCGATCATCTCAGTGGCTAATTTCATTATGTTGGGGCTGTTTACTATATTTTATGACAAATCATGTTCACATATACTCAACTAGAAGTTTTGTATAGATAATATTGATTATTTCTATTATCATCAGATTGAATGTGCGTTGTTAAATATTTATGTAACATCAGCAATTTATTGTTTTGACTGGTAAAATAAAATTATAAAACACCTGTATTGTATTTGTAGTAATGCCATAAGATACATGTCTGATTGAACAATTTTACAGGGATCAGTGATTAGGTTTGACATGTAATAAATGGCAATCAAAAAATATCCATCCCACATTTACCAAGAACAGTTATTATTAACTGGATTTTGCGTTTTCTGTGAATACTTTTGTATTACAATTTAAAACTTTACCTCCTGCTAACCTTTCAAAACTTGTTTGATATTTTGCAAGAAATAATTATAAATCGTCTTACATACTGTAAACATGTATATTTTAGGGATTTCAATGCTAAGGTTTAATTCCACATCAATCCATAATTACTAAAATTGAGAATGGAAATGGGGAATGTGTCAAAGAGACAACAACCCGACCATAGAACAGACAACATACCTATATTGTTGCTTTCTACAATCCATTTACACGGGATTGCCAAATAAGCAAAAATAACCCCCACATGAACTACAGCTATGGAATAAATCTTATCACAGGTGTATCGTTTGGAGTTGGAATAATGTGTCTCTAGTAGGGTGACATGTCTTCCTGGGGACTGTTACCTTGTGAACTAGCACTTTAAGAATCTGGTTCAGTGTGTCAGTCTAGTACACTGCAGGGTTCATATTCATATTGCACTAACATGTTCTCATCTTGAATATGCATTTAATTTGCCACAGTCATCCATCAGGCTTTCATGGAAGATGTGTCGTCTACATCCAATTTTTCAATCAAAATATTTTATTTTGTATGTCTACCCTCACAAAGCATTGCCATGCATTGGTAGTGAGAAAAAGTTTAAATAAGAATACTGGTTATGATAATAGATTGATGTATTGAACCCTATTGCCATAACTTGTTTAATAACAAGGATGTATGCTGTTGTATTTATTACCTGCGTATTGACACAGTATTATTGTTTCATTCCCCGAGTAATATAGAAAAAATACTGACTTAGATGTCTATAAACACAACAGCTCCAAGGGAGCTTTCGTTAGTTGAAGCCATATTAATTTTGTGTATTAGCAAATAAATTCATGTCAAATAAAAGTATAGGTATGAATGCAGAAAACGCATAATGAACAGCGCCTGGTGATGATTCATAGCCTGACCTGTTTCTAATTGTAAACCAAGAGATGACCTGAACAAGATGTCTAAATACCTGGATCCCAAACTTACAACTTGTGTGAACATGACTTATACCTGAATTCTGAACTCATAACACTTGAATAATATGCACAAATTTGCGTTGACACTTAGCCTTAACATTAAAGGGAGGACTGAAGGTTAACATAATGCTTACATGTAAAAGACTTGATATTTCAGCAAATCATAAGCCAAACATCATTACAGCATGACATTGACTACCATGTACGATAATTTAAATGAAGTCACACTAGAAGCCCAAATGTTGGTTAGATGTTTACTTAATTTATCCTATATCATCAGGCTTAAAGTTTACCAATATTTTTAAAATCAATTGAATAAATTTGAAGGCTAAAATAATTCTTCATTTAAAATACTTGATATATCGGCAAATCATAAGCCAAAACATCAAAACTTGCATGACTACCATGTATAATTTAAATGAAATCCCGATAGGAGCCCAACTGCTGGTTTATAGATGTTTACCTTAACCTATATAAGTAGGTTAAATGTTTACCGTAACATACACAATCAGCTGAAAGAAGTTTACCGTAACTGATGGAAATTCCACTGGATATTTAACTGAATGTATAAAATTTATTTGGCGATGAATAAAGGATAATTATCCAGTTACGAATAACGGATAATTAACCAATTCAGATAACGGTAACAGACAAATCGCAGACACTATATAAATAGAGTGCCACTATCAATCAATCATTCTGCCTCTGAAGAAGGTCCGTGAAGGACCAAAAACTTGTCAGGCTATGAATCATCACCAGGCACTGTTAATTATGTGTTTTCTGCATTAATACCTATACTTTTTATTGCTTTATTCCTCTTTTTTTCCTGTCTGAACGCAAAAAAACATTCACAAACATATACCAAACATTCTTTTATTTTTAAATACAAAATCAGCAGTATCAACAATTGCACTTCTTTTAAATAGTGGTTGTCCCAATTTGTATCGGCAACAGTTCAAGGTTTAAAGTATCAATTAAGATAAATAAAGAAAAACTGCAGCATGTGTGTACCAGATTCGGTTTTTTCTTCAAATCAATTTTGAAAAACAATTATTTTTTTTGACAGAATAAACAAGCACTTGATACAAGTATCACATATGAATGAAGAAATTTATTTGACTGGTATTAGAAATGCAGAATTCAAATCTTGAAGAATTTAAACAATATATATGTCCAAAAAATTGACAATTTTCATTCATTTTCATAAAATCTCTGATAACACATAATTTTAAAGTAACTACAGATATCAAAAGTAAGAATTTGTAAATATCAGCTGCAGCGAATTTCACTTTTTGGTTCTTTAAACATTTTAGAGAAAAAGTAAAAAATAAATGTGGATAGTGTCCACATGTGGACACAGATGATGCCCCCGCTTGCATATCATATAGTTATAAAGGGACATAACTGAAGAACGGTAAAAGTGACGCTACCCAAATTTGAACTTGATCTGAGTTTTGTGGTAATAAGCATTGTGTGTAAGTCTCATAACATTTGGTTGAGGCTAACCTAAGTAGAGAACAGAAACTAAAAATTCAGCAATTTTTCTATTTGTAAACACGCATAACTCTAGAACGGTTGTGTATAAGTTTTACAACATTTGGTTGAGACAAACTAAAAAATTCAGCAATTTTTATGTTTATAAAGGGACATAACTCTAGAATGGTAAAAGTGTTGCCACCTAATTTCGTACTTAATCTGTATTATGTAGTAATAAGCATTGTGTATAAGTTTCATAACATTTGGTTGAGGCAAACTCAAGTTAGAGAACTGAAACAAAAAAATTGTACTTGATCCTTACTGAGTTTTGTGGTAATGAATATTGTGTATAGGTTTCATAATGTTTGGCTGGGGAAAACTTCAGTTACAGAATGGAAACTAAAAAATTTTGCAATCTTTCTATTTATAAAGGGGCATAACTCAATAATGGTTAAAGTGACACTACCCAAATTCAACTTGATCTGTGTTTTATCAGTGGTAGTCAAAATTAAACATTGCATTGTATAAAGCATTGATTGTAGTTGATTCAACTATAATCATGGTCAAAGGAAGATAACTCCAATTTTAAAAATATATTATATAAACTTGATATTTAGAAGAAAATAAAAATTTTGCAATTTTTCCTTTTATAAAGGGGCATAACTCTAGATCGGTTAAAGTGACACCACCAAAATTCAAACTTGATCTGTGTTTTGTGGTAATAAGCATTGTGTATAAGTTTCATAACATTTGGTTGAGGCAAACTTAATTTAGAGAACGGAAACTAAAAATTTTGCAATATTTCCTTTTATAAAGGGGCATAACTCTAGATCGGTTAAAGTGACGCCACCAAAATTCAAACTTGATCTGTGTTTTGTGGTAATAAGCATTGTGTATAAGTTTCATAACATTTGGTTGAGGCAAACTCAAGTTAGAGAACGGAAACCAATTTCGGGACGTACGTACGTACGTACGTACGTACAGACGGACAAGGGTAAAACTTAATGCCCCCTCCGCTACGGCGGGGGCATAAAAAACCAACATTATATTTCTTCATTATTTTAAAAGAGCCAAAGCCATATAAAATCTTTTAATATTTCATTCTTAATCTTGCAAAATTGAAAATATGATTCAAACTTCATATTTTAGTCGATATAATGCAAATGAATTGTTATTTATGTTACTATTTTATAAAATTCAGTCTTTATAAAATAAAAAAAAACTTAAACAAGTGGACTGAAAGATCTCTGATCAATTCCTAAACAAGTTTTTTTCAATACATGTTCACTGTACCATGAGTAACAATAATCACAATTCTGAAATTCAACACCGATTTCATTCATATCACAAAAGTATAGACTACTCAAAACATAACAATCTAGTTGGGGAAATGGGTTCACTGTTCAGTAATAAATCAAAATGGAATATAACATTTTTTGTATGTTTATTGGAGTAATAATGCATCGTGGGCTAGCATCAATTTCTGACATAGCAGGAAATTTGCCATTAATATCTTGAATTTTTTTTTAAGAATTCATGCAAAATTTATCATAAGTTGATAATTTAATTTAACATACATTGTTTATCACCAATATATTGTACTATCCCAAAAAATATACATTATTAACATTATTTGCTTATGCACAGTAACATTGAGTCTGATCAGAGCTGAAAGTTGGTCACAGAAATCATCCATGTCTTACCCTACAGATATAGAGCAAAGACTGAGTGAGTGGCTACTTAACATTCAGACTTCAAACAAAAGATCAACATTTAAAGCAATTAAATTCTATGTTATAAAAAGATCATCATTTCTATGGATTTCATAGTTCATTGAATATACTTCATTTTCAACTGATTTATGGGATGACATATTGAAATAAATGTTCCAGTGATATACAACTAAAATGACTATCCACATATTATTATATGATTATGGATCATTTTGTAGGTAAATTCTTAATTTATGAATTATTTTTTATTTCAAGAGTTATCTTTCTGTTCATTTAAATGTTTTTAATTGAAAACAAGGAAAGTTAAAGTTGATGAGAGTTCTCTATAGTACAGCATTGCTTTATTTTTAAATGTTCTTTTGTAATCAAATCGACACACACAAAATAATCATGAAAAAAAAAGAAATTTAACTAGTTAAGGAAATCCTTTGCATTTGGAAACCAATTTACATATTTTTTAATGGTCAAGTGAGAGAAAGTCAGTTGGTTGAGAACATTGTTATAAAGGTCAAGTTATTCTTGATTTAGAAAAAAGAGAAAAGAAAGAATTACAATAATTTGTTTTTACGGGGTACCCATCTATCTGACTAAAATAAATTTGGCTCGTTTAATTTTCATATAGTTTTGACAAAATATTTATTTTTAACCTGTTGACAAAAATTCAAAAAATTTCAAGAAATTTGAATCACACAAATTACAGGAATAATTTTATTGGATATATATAGCAGTTTGACAAACACTAATTTTGATCATTGAGAAGCTTGATTTCTCTTTACTAATAGTATGTGATTAAATCGTTCAGCTGGTTTTTAAAGAGTTAAATGCAGGAATGTTCTTCTTTCCCTTACAAGTAACATCATTTAAAAAAAATCTAATTCCATTGCTGACATTCAAAAAAGTAAAAAATAACAAATTAAGGGTCATGTTCTTTTAAGTTAACCTGTAGGTGTCTAACTTGACATATTAAACAATAAATGTGGATAGTGTCCACATGTGGACACAGATGATGCCCCCGCTTGCATATCATATAGTTATAAAGGGACATAACTGAAGAACGGTAAAAGTGACGCTACCCAAATTTGAACTTGATCTGAGTTTTGTGGTAATAAGCATTGTGTGTAAGTCTCATAATATTTGGTTGAGGCTAACTTAAGTAGAGAACAGAAACTAAAATTTCAGCAATTTTTCTATTTGTAAACACTCATAACTCTAGAACGGTTGTGTATAAGTTTTACAACATTTGGTTGAGACAAACTAAAAAATTCAGCAATTTTTATGTTTATAAAGGGACATAACTCTAGAATGGTAAAAGTGTTGCCACCTAATTTCGTACTTAATCTGTATTATGTAGTAATGAGCATTGTGTATAAGTTTCATAACATTTGGTTGAGGCAAACTCAAGTTAGAGAACTGAAACAAAAAAATTGTACTTGATCCTTACTGAGTTTTGTGGTAATGAATATTGTGTATAGGTTTCATAATGTTTGGCTGGGGAAAACTTCAGTTACAGAATGGAAACTAAAAAATTTTGCAATCTTTCTATTTATAAAGGGGCATAACTCAATAATGATTAAAGTGACACTACCCAAATTCAACTTGATCTGTGTTTTATCAGTGGAAGTCAAAATTAAACATTGCATTGTATAAAGCAATGATTGTAGTTGATTCAACTATAATCATGGTCAAAGGAAGATAACTCCAATTTTAAAAATATATTATATAAACTTGATATTTAGAAGAAAATAAAAATTTTGCAATTTTTCCTTTTATAAAGGGGCATAACTCTAGATCGGTTAAAGTGACACCACCAAAATTCAAACTTGATCTGTGTTTTGTGGTAATAAGCATTGTGTATAAGTTTCATAACATTTGGTTGAGGCAAACTTAAGTTAGAGAACGGAAACTAAAAATTTTGCAATATTTCCTTTTATAAAGGGGCATAACTCTAGATCGGTTAAAGTGACGCCACCAAAATTCAAACTTGATCTGTGTTTTGTGGTAATAAGCATTGTGTATAAGTTTCATAACATTTGGTTGAGGCAAACTGAAGTTAGAGAACGGAAACCAATTTCGGGACGTACGGACGGACGTACGTACAGACGGACAAGGGTAAAACTTAATGCCCCCTCCGCTACGGCGGGGGCATAAAAATAAAACCAATAAAAAAGTATGCAAAAAACAACTTCAACCAATACTAATCTAAAATGTTATCTAAGTTCTACCTGTAACTACATCATACATAACAATTCTTGATGTTGACTAGACCCATTTTCTCCGACTAGGGTTTTATGGCAAATATTTGCAACAAGCAACATAGCTATACACAAAGTTTCAAATATAATTGAAAACCGTAAACGTTATCTACAACTTAAAACCATTACATTACTTTGAAATAATAAATTTTTAAAAAGACATTTATTTTACACTCAAGACCAGCGGGGGAAAAAGAATTTGTGAATTTCCCTCCTTAATTTTTTAAAGTTGGCAAGTAAAATATGTGTGAACTTTTAAATGATAAATGTAAGGTCCACGCAACGGAAAACAAAGGCCCCTAAATTCTAACTCTATACACACCACAAGATTCATTACAATGTCAAAGACATCACATTATTCTTAACAAAGTCATTTCGTAATTAAAATCTTTATACATTTGTCATATCACTATTTTTTCAATACAAGGCACATATTCATAAAGCACTAAGCACATGATTACTTTCTACTTCAATATATACATATCTTTTTGTACATATCTATACTCAACATATTTTTGTTAACATGAAAATAAAGAAAATAAGGCAATTACAAAACTTAAAACTTCTGAAGGAATTATGTGATAGTGTAAAATATGAAATGATATTGAATTATGGGAAAAATGGCAAATTTTCCTCTTAAAATCAGGATTTCATTATCTAAATCATTGTCAACTTTATACGTACTTTCTTTCACATAACTTTACCTACTATACACTATATAAGTATCATATATGAAACATGTGAACATCTTAAGGTGGTACCAAACACCTTGACTAAAATTAATTTGGTTCGTTTAATTTTCATAAAATTTTGACAAAATATTTACTTCGACCCTTTGACAAAAATATAAAAAATTCAAAAAACTTGAACCAAACATTTTATCGGAAAAATTTCATTGGATATATAGCAGTTTGACAAACACTAATTTTGATCATTGAGAAGCTTAATATTTCCTTAACAATAGAATGTGATTAAAACGTTCAGCTGATTTTTACAGAGTTATCTCCCTATAGTGTTATGTACCACCTTAAGGGAATGATTTAACTGTCATATAAAATTTGTCATATTTAAACCAAGCTTATGAGATAAAAAATAACATTATATAAAAAATGAAAACAAAACAAATGTATACATCTAAATTGAACACAATATTAGTAGCTTAATTTCCACCTCGGAATTTAACTGAGATTATCTTTTCATTGCAGATTATGTTTCTATAAATTGATCACTTTCTTCTAGGATATTTAGAGGCAACTGGTGTACCCCCTTTATTTGGTGTTGGCTGGTTAGGTGTGGTACTTCCTATAGGGGTACCAGTATAATTTCGAAGTGTTGGCGTACCGCTGGTCTGTTTTATGGGTGTATAGGATGAACCGCCAATGTTCTGTTTCAATGGAGTTGATGGTTTACTGGGTGTACTGGTTCCCGTATCCATCTATAAAAAAAATAATAACATAAGAATTTATTTGGTAGTTATATATATCTTTGATTTATTGATTACTATTTAATATACTGTGGCAAATATTACATGATTTGAATATTCAAACAATAACATATTAATGAAATATTAATATTAATCCTACTTTGTACTTGGGAAACCAATAGAAGGAGTTGGATTTTGAATATGTTAGCTCTCAAGTTAAGTCTGCTTGAAGACATATCATCCTACTCTGACACAAGGCTAACCAATCTTAGCACCGACATATAAATGCTGCATGCTTGCTGAAGTTGTCAAATCTTTTACAGTTTTATCTAGAGCTGTTTTAAACAATGTCAAGACTTTAAACTACCTTCTGCCTAGGTTGTTGCATGACTGTGTTCTTGTCTTGAGTGTTAGAGGGTATGGGACTTAATAACTGGTAACTGCTACTCATCCACAAAGCATGCCGCAATTTGGAGACAAGAGTAGACTGATCAAAATTGAGGCGGAAAAATGTGTTTGAGTAGGGCAACATTCTTCTTGGGGTTGTTACCTTGTGAGCTAGGATGTTAAATATTGGGTTCACCATGTATATAAAGTCAAACTAAAGCAAGGTTCTTGTTCCATCACAAAAATATGTTCTCACCCTGAATATGGTTTGAACAAGCCCACTTAACATTTTTATATTTTTTCTACTCTGTGTATATAAATTAACATTGATGGAAAAGCTATCTTTGGTTCATTCAAACTGTTACCCTGTGACACTAGCTTCATGGTATTGAAATCACAAATTCTGTTCATTTGAGAAAGAATTCATTTATACAGCAAACTTCTACTATAACTAACAGGGGAATCCTAACTGATGATCTATCACAATTTAAAAAAAAAGACAAATCTTGTCCATGTTGCATAACTGTTACTGCAAGTGCAACATGAATCTAGATTCTTGTATCCTTGGTAGGACTCTAAAGAACTAATCATCTAAAATGATGGTGTCTTGATAACTGAATAAAAAATCATGACTGAGAAGAGTTGGCACTATTTTGAATGAAGTTTGGTTTCATGAAAAATAAAATTGAGAATGGAAATGGGGAATGTGTCAAAGAGACAACAACCCGACCATAGAGCAGACAACAGCCAAAGGCCACCAATAGGTCTTCAATGCAGCGAGAAACTCCCGCACCCGGAGGCGTCCTTCAGCTGGCCCCTAAACAAATATGTATACTAGTTCAGTGATAATGGACGTCATACTAAACTCCAAATTATACACAAGAAACTAAAATTAAAAATGATACAAGACTAACAAAGGCCAGAAGCTCCTGACTTGGGACAGGCGCAAAAATGCGGAGGGGTTAAACATGTTTTTTGAGATCTCAACCCTCCCCCTATACATCTAGCCAATGTAGAAAAAACAAACGTACAACAGTACGCACAGTAAAACTCAGTTTAAGAGAAGTCCGAGTCCGATGTCAGAATAGGAAACAAAAGAAAATAAACAAAATGACAATAATACATAAATAACAACAGACTACTAGCAGTTACTGACATGCCAGCTCCAGACCTCAATTAAACTGATTGAAAGATTATGTCTTCATCATATGAATATCAGGCACAATCCCTCCTGTTAGGGGTTTAGTATTATACCGTCATAAAATATATGAGAAGAACATAACCTGTGTCATTCCAACAACTGGTTTTAGAATAAATATGTTTAATTCCAATGCAAAGACCCTATAAGTGAATCAATATTAAAGCCAAAATATGCAATCTTTAATGACCTGACAACAGTATCGTAACTATATCCTTTCTTAATAAGTCTGTTTAAAGGTTTTGTTAGCTTTTGAGGTGAATACTGACATTTTTGTGCTTTGTAAAGAATATTACCATAAAAGATTGGATGTGAAATACCCGAACGTATAAGATGTCTGCATGTTGAGTTATATTTACGAATGATGTCCTTATACCGATGATAAAATTTAGTAAATGTTTTGACTAGTTTATGATATCGGAAACCCTGGTGTAATAATTTTTCAGTAATATATAAATTTCTCTCGCTAAAATCTAATACGTTGTTACATACACGAGCGAATCGTACAAGTTGAGATATATAAACACCATAAGATGGTGACAAGGGAACGTCACCATCTAAAAATGGATAATTAAAGATAGGAAATGAAAAATCATCTCTTTTATCATAAATTTTTGTATTAAGCTTCCCGTTGATATAGATATCAAGATCGAGGAAAGGACAGTGGTCATTGTTAGTATTAGCTTTATTTAAAGTAAGTTCAACAGGATAAATTTCTTTAGTATACATACTGAAGTTGTATTATTGAGAGCCAATATATCATCCAAATATCTAAAAGTATTGTTAAATTTTTGTATCAGATGTTGTTTCGATGGGTCTTTGCTGATTTTAGTCATAAATTGTAACTCATAACAATACAAAAACAGGTCTGCAATAAGTGGTGCACAGTTAGTCCCCATTGGATTTCCGATAACTTGACGATATACTGAATCTCCAAAGCGAACAAAAATGTTATCAAGTAAAAATTCAAGGGCAGATATAGTACCAAAGCATGTCCAATTGACATAGCTCTTTTGTTTGTTGCTACTAAAAAATGACCTAAAAGAGTTTGAACATATGTATTCGCATTCCGACTTTTTAAACGCCCATTCAATTAGGTGTGTGAATTTTTTCTTAATAAGAATATGAGGCAAAGTGGTATATAGGGTAGAAAAATCAAAACTTTGAACAGATTCAAAATCACCAATATATGCATGCAATTTATCAAGTACTTCCAACGAGTTTTAGACACTCCAAAAGTAGTTAATTCCACTATTTTCAAAGGCCTTATTTGAAAAATTTATTATCAGGTTTTTGATTGTACCAAGTGTACTAGTAAGTAGAATAGACAATTTAGTAGTGGAACAATGACTTGAAGACGAAATAAATCTATATTTGTAAGGTGATTTGTGTAGCTTCGGAAGCCAGTACATTGTTGGGACTTTCATTGTATTTGGTTCTGCTTGTAAAGAAGTAGCTAATAGTTTATGTTTGTTACAGATATCGTTTTCTGAAAATGAAGTCAGTTGGAATGTTGGTGAATTCGTGATTTCCTTTTGCAGAACCTCAATGTAAAATTTACGTCAAACTATAATGATATTATTAGCAGCTTTATCAGCCAGAACAAAAACAAATACCTTGGCAAGTTCTTTTAGTTTATGTTTGATACGAGAGATAGGATTTTTATGGTTGTTGTTAAGAGTGAAATGTTCTTTAAAATGTTGTATACGTATATCAACTATCTTCATTACTGAATTAAAAAAAGAGTCCAAAGATTTTTTGTAAAAGTATGATTTAGTTTTTGGTATATCATGAAATATACAGAACACCCATTAAAAAACCGTCATCTTTAATTCAGCATGCAAGCCAAACCCTATCTGTATACATTTGCATATAACAATTCTACAAATGATATATTCATAACTTCCCACTATTTACGGTTCTCTCTGTTAAAATCAATATGCCTTCAGCAGTATAATATGTTAAATAATTTCGTTTTTACAAAGTATAACATCAAAATAAAGGAATTGTTTTTAAAATGAAAAATCCTTTAAGGAATGGGTAAAAAATAAAGTGAAATAAATATCTGATCTTACACTTATTGAAGAAAAATTATCATGAAACTGAAAAACATATACAATTGCATTAGGTTTTGATGAACACATGAACTAAACCTCTCAAAGTTTTATTGGGTATGAAACAGCAGCTAACACTATAGAAATTAAAAAAAAACACCAAAAGAATGAACAAAAGAATAAATAAAGAATGAACGAATGAAAGAAATTAAACTTAGGGTACAATTCAAAACAATTGATGCAGGTGTAGTAGCTATGAAGGATGGTCCCTATATTAATGCAGGTGTAGTAGCTATGTAGGATGGTCCCTATATTGATGCAGGTGTAGTAGCTATGTAGGATGGTCCCTATATTGATGCAGGTGTAGTAGCTATGTAGGATGGTCCCTATATTGATGCAGGTGTAGTAGCTATGTAGGATGGTCCCTATATTGATGTAGGTGTAGTAGCTATGTAGGATGGTCCCTATATTAATGCAGGTGTAGTAGCTATGTAGGATGGTCCCTATATTGATGCAGGTGTAGTAGCTATGTAGGATGGTCCCTATATTGATGCAGGTGTAGTAGCTATGTAGGATGGTCCCTATATTGATGCAGGTGTAGTAGCTATGTAGGATGGTCCCTATATTGATGCAGGTGTAGTAGCTATGTAGGATGGTCCCTATATTGATGCAGGTGTAGTAGCTAGGTCCCTATATTGATGCAGGTGTAGTAGCTATGTAGGATGGTCCCTATATTGATGCAGGTGTAGTAGCTATGTAGGATGGTCCCTATATTAATGCAGGTGTAGTAGCTATGTAGGATGGTCCCTATATTGATGCAGGTGTAGTAGCTATGTAGGATGGTCCCTATATTGATGCAGGTGTAGTAGCTATGTAGGATGGTCCCTATATTGATGCAGGTGTAGTAGCTATGTAGGATGGTCCCTATATTGATGCAGGTGTAGTAGCTATGTAGGATGGTCCCTATATTGATGCAGGTGTAGTAGCTATGTAGGATGGTCCCTATATTTAATTGACAAAACCATGAGGGCAAATCAACACCAGTTCTAAACTCAATTAATATACATCTGCCTAAAGTAAAATTATTAAAAATAACTTATAAAAAAATTAATCATTGTCATTTCATGAATGGAGTCAGCTGAGATTGGAACATGCAAGGAAATAAAACATACTTTCTAATTGATACTTTTGACATGGACATCTCTTTAGGATCCTGCTTATATACTTCCTATTTGATACTGCTTTCTTCAGACAGAGTTTTTAGGTTTTAAGAATTGATACAAACAAGAATATTCAGTATAATTTACCATTGGATGAAAACGATTTTGAGAAAAATACATTTGTTTATAAAATAAAGCAAACTAAATGATGACAAATATGTATAGATAATCTAAGAGGTATCAATATTCAAATATGAAAAAGGGTTAATCTAAGCTACATATAAACTAGGATTGATTAAAACTAAAGCATGCAGACAAAATCACAATGTTGTCATTCACCTGTCTATGGACTGGGACGATATGTCCGAGATTTTACTGTCTGAAATTAAATTACACCACAACTTGTTAAATAATATTAGTATCAAATACCTGTGAAAGTACTAAAATCATTGGCACTAATTCTAATTGGCTGACGGGTCTGGAATTAATTTGATCACCAAAGTAAATTGTGACCATGACTGAGAAAATGGGTCCAGATGAGAAAAATACATATTTTGATTTTTTTGCATTTTTGGAGCCTAATTGTCATAAATAACATTCTGTAAAAATTTCAAGGGGATAGCACAAGTAGTTTCTGAGAAAATAAACATTTCATGATTCGTAACTTACATGTATCTTGGAAATAAATTGACAAATTGAAGATATCATTCGAAAAACTCAAGACTTTTTCTTGTAAATGTGTATACTTCCAAAATTGTTCATTTTATAATTAGACACCTTAAGTTTATGTTTAATGTTTGTCAAATAATTTGAAAAAGTATGATTTATTCTAACTGATATATATTTTGAACTGTTAAATCGGTTACCATCATGACCATGGCAACCAATTTTTTTTAATTTTTTTAATTTTTTTAATTTTTTTCAGATTGTGTGATGAACTTTAAATTTCAAAGTACATGTATATAAAAGAAGAAACAAATGGTTTCTTTTTATAATAGATAAATATATAGGCTATGAGGGTCTGGATGGTGGGTCCATTTCAATTTTGTTAATACTTTTCACCCAGTACATTGTATTTTCTATTCTTTATCTTTTTGGTACTTTTATTTTCTTTTTGCTCATTTTTCTCTATTCTGTAAACCCCAATCCTCACCATCCGATATGGGATATTTGTTGTGCCATTATTTACTAAAATAACAATTTGTTGCCTTGATAGAGTAAAATAATTTCAAAATACATTTTTATTTTGAAATAGTTCATTTTTTTCTGGTGATTGTCTCATATAAGCTTACACAACATCCACTTTGAGTTTGACTTTTTATTAATAGGTCATTTCTAGTAATCATAGAATTGCTTAATTTGTTTACTTCATTAATTTTGTATGTACAGGTTATTGGTTCATGTCTGCCATATTTTTTTTGGTAAATTGTTTTGTTTTTAATTAGTCCTTTACTTTTCTCAATTGAACTGTTTCATAACTGACTATACAGTATGGGTTTTCTCATTGTTGAAGGCCATACATGTGCCTATAATTGCTTACATCCACTTTATTTGAACTTAGGTGGAAACTTGTCTCATTGGTAATCATAACACATCTCTTTATTTTTAAATAGTACAACAAGCATTGTGTTAAAATTAAAATAATTTTCACTGAAATATTTTATCATTTTATTTAGTTCAGCAGAGCCTTTTTTCTTCCTCCATTGGATTTGGCATTGTGTTGGTCTTGTTGTGTTAAGTCTATTTCCTTTTTAGGAACCAGTGGTTTCGGACATGTAATGTTCTTAGCTGAATCTGAGTAGCAGTGCTGTCTTATCTGCTCATATAAATACCACTGCCTGGCAGGTTCAAGAATTTTGATGTTAGATGGTTGAGGAAGCTCACCTCCTGGTGGAGTTTTAGTTTTGCATTTCAGTAAATTGAATGTATATGATTCTGAAGATGCATTTTCTCTGCATGTTACTACTCCTGGGTGTTGTGAATCCATGTAAAAATGATGATAGTCAGTTATATGTTTCAAAGTTTTAAAGTACTGTTGCAAATAAGGCTTCCATTCATAAAACATTACAGGATCTTGTATATTTCCTACAACTTGTGGTATGTTGTGTCCATTTCTGCTGGACCTTGTCACAGTTTCAGCTACCTGTAATAAAACAAAGAACAATAAATCAACTGCAAGACTTTTCATAAATGATTTGAGAGTACTTACAAATACATACAGATTTAAAAAAAGAAAATTTGAAAAGGTGACTTTACAGTAAAATACAGCCAGACATCAAAAACAGATGACAATAATATGCAAGTCAGATAAATCTATAAATCTAGAAACTAACTCAGGTAAAAACTGGATATGCTGTCTATGCTTGAATCAATTATGAGTACATTTTGTAATTTGTGTACAAGATAAAACATTTTAAGAAACTAATGTTATGTCATTAATCCAAAGAACTAATCCAGGTTTCATATGTGTAAGAGTTATTGCCCTTTGATCATATTGAATAGGTGAAATATTGACTATTTGAAATGACTTTAGAAAAAAAAACATTAATAGTTCTATCTTAAATCAAGTAATAATGTTTATACATGTACTAGTATATTAAATTGTAGTTTTAATTATTATATAAACTACCATTATCTACCTCTGATAATGTTTCTGCTGCTGAATTTCTCCAGTGTAACTTCCAAACACCAAAATGCCAATCAGGCTCAAACTTGGTATGTCCTGCAATCATCATTGAGTATTCTATGCTTTTGTGTAATCCTGGCAAAACAAAAATAAAAATTATATTACAAAAAATACTTATTTTAAAAAAGCAAATACCAAAATGAGAAAGTTAACAAGATACCAGTAACTAAAGTTGTCATACTAGAAATAAATATTGTATGCAAAATATATACATCTGTACTTATAAAAATAAATAAATCTTTTGAAGGTTGATAACATGAAATGTTGATTCTAATCACAGAACTATCACTATAACATATTCTGCATACATTGTTAATATAAAAAAAGAAGATGTGGTATGTCTTAATCTAAAAATACAGATAGAATAAAATCAGTGTTGTTTATTTAAAAAGAGAATTTTAAACTTTTATAAATAAATTGTTGTCTTGGTTATAGTTTGAATATAATATAACACTTTGTGAAATAATGTAACATAATCAAATAATAGTTACCCGTCATTACTCTCCATAATGCATACCATAATACTACATTATTCTTGTTCTGACCAGTGCAGTTGTCAAAATGGATTTTAGCATCAGTCTCTCCATGACCAAATTTGTTAAAATAGTGATGCACCATACTAACAACAGAGTGTGCTCCTTTGCCAATACTTTCAGCTTCATCAATCAAATAGAAACTTTGTTTTCCTACAAAACATTACATACAAAATTTACCATTAGCCATTTTGAAAACATTTAAACCAAAAGCATACATATCTAATACAATAGTATATTCACAAAGTACAATTTAACATGTACTAGTACATGATGTGTGCAATAGAGGTAAATAAATAAAGATAAATCATGTTTAAGAAATCTATTTCCATATACATGTATGTAACTTAACTCAATACATACATGAATCATAAGGGTATAGTTATTTATATCAGAGTTATTGATCTTGAAAACTGCACCTTACAAGTCAATGATCATGTACATTAAATATATATTTGTATGTCCAGTGATTATGTCCATCAGTCTGTTTTAAAACTATAAATTATAATAAATCACATGTTCATGTTATTGTTTCTAACTATCAAAAGCATATATTTAATGTAATAAAAAACCAATAAAAAATTACCAGATCCTTCTGAGCAGACTCCAAACACATTACATTTTCTTGGTGTTTTGAAATAAATGGGTCCCACTTGCTGAGCATGGTGAGGAAAGTGAACTTGTTGGGCATAATCCCAGGAATAGTGTAGAGTGGTCTGTACTGACTGTGGAGAATTTCCTGTAAAACACATGTAAGAGTTAACAACTAAATACATAAGATTGAGGATAGCCTGTTCAATATTAAAAAAAATATTCCTGCAGCCATGGTAGTACAATTGAATCTAATTTATCTAATCCAAGTAATATTGAGTCCAAAAAGGATACATGAACATTGTATATTGAGACATGTACATATGTACATCTATGTTTAGAAGTAGAAGTGTCAAGATTGTGAATTTGTGTATGTTTTTAACATGATTAACATGATTAATGGTTGTCTGGAATAAAGTTGACCAATTATATACAACTGAATGTACTGTCACATGTGAACAAAAGTATGGAATAAAGTTCACCACTTACACAAAATGCATGCACTGACTATTTGGTAAGGACTTGAAACGTATTATATAAATAATAATAAAAATATTCAAAAGTATGTTTTATGAATATGAACAGATATTTAGGAGAGACATAAAGAGATATGTAATATTAATACAGAAGACATACATGTACTTTGGTGGAATAAACTATTTAACCTTTATATATATATACATATATTACCTGATTGTTTCAGTGCATCTGGCAAGTCCATGTAGTTTTGTTTGCTAAGTTTAACCTGCTCACGGTAGTAGTCTCTTTGTTCTTTTGCGAGTTGTACATGGATATTATAGTGATTTAACAATAACTGTTTTTCCTCTTCAGACAGATTTCCACTATTAGATATTTTACCAGCATATTCCTGACACTTTTGACATAAATCAGTACATGGCTTTGTAACTACAATATTGGGACATAAATCATGCCACTGTCTTTGAAATGTTCTTACACTCACACTTCTATACTTCATATTTATTGCAAGTTTTTCATATTCTGCATGAATGTCAACTGAATTTTTGTCAGATGGTAACAACAAAACTTGATGGTTCTTGTAATTAGGCAACCTGCCTGGTAGAGGCAAAGCATTATCAGTAGCATATTTGATAAGAAATGTTTTTATCCTTTCTGAATCCTGAAATGTAAGGGCATGTTTTGGAAGTTTCCCTGTGCTAGCATGAGTTCTAGGAGATAGTCCATCTACATCTAGTGATTTTGCAATAGAAAGTAATTTCTTCTTTTCAACCCCATGGATAAAACAAAATGTCTGTCTACATACTCGCTTTCCTTTGAAATAAAACTCCTGGTATGGGCGTTCCCTTTCTTTAATTTTGTGTTTCTTGGCTTCAGTGACACTACCAGAACGCCTGTGTGCAAACAATTCAGCCTTGATTATCATATCAAGTTCATCTTTAGAAAGTTCCTTGCAGTGCTCTCGGAATTCAATAACGGCGTCCATTTCAATGATTTGGCTACAAGGTTCGCCATAAAATTCTTTGCACCCGCAAGTGTCATTTCTGAAACGGGCCTGTGCAATATATTCTCGTGTATCGTCATCTGAAGGTTCGACTAAATGATCGACATTGTCGTCGTCATTGTCAGATTCAAAGTTTTCAACATCAGAATTAATCTCGGACTCGGGGCATTCGTAATCGTAAAAATATAATTCGTCGACCCTATTCAACTCATTTATGAAATCATCATCTTGGTTCTGCAAAATCTCAGGCGGTATGCTACTCTGACTTGCCGAAAATCGACTTTCCTGGCTCATTTTATCTGTTTTATACTAAGACCGCCATTTGTACTTTTGTATCCAATGTAAATACAAAGGGGGACAATTAAAAGTTTTGTGACTGGTTTACGCTCCATGCTATGCATTTCAAGGTAATCAAAATAAATATTTTTTAATAATTGATGTAGAAATATTATACAATTTTATAAGTATCAAAAGTTCAGTCTATTTTCAACCCTTTTCAAAACCTAATTGCAAATCGGTAATTACGAAATACAGGTGCTCGTTTAGATTTGACAACGTCAACTTTACGACGTCATAATACGAAATCGTAAATGCCGCATCTGGGCCCTTTTTGTCAGTCGCAGTCACAATTATGAAAATCTATAATATTTTGTCTGGCATTGTACTTCAGGATTTTGGTAAAATACAAAAATAGGTGTTTCATGATTTGATAAGACTTTCACAGTAGAAGTTGTAAATAATTTAGGATTTCAAACATCAGTAGCTAGTAAATTTATTTTTATTTAGAATATTGTCTAACTTTTTTAATGCCCCAAATATCTTTTGAAAGAAATACATACAATTAATACGAAAAGACTTCCAAATTTCAATGGATACTCTTTAGAAAAAATAATTGCCAGTCCTGGACTCCTCATTTCATGTAAACATATATACATGCAACTAGCAGTAATTCATTTATATGAGAGCAAAGCATGCTTTATACCATTCAGCCTTTAAGCTAAAACATGAATATGATTTTGCTTGTAATTATTAGAGAATAAAGCTTTTTGCAATAAAATATTTAGGCATATTCCAGAAAAGATGAATTTTTAATTATTCAGGTTCAGATTTAGATGGTGAACATCTGAGTTATCCACCCATGTCCAATACAGAGAGAGAAAAAAAATGAAAAATTACAGCAAAATTTGTGTAAAAAAATAAATTCCTGTAATTCCTTATTCTGATGAGTGCAACCCCCCCCCCCTTTTCCAACATCAAATCCTGGATCTGTGCCTGGTTTTATATTTCATGTCATCAAAGTTGGGCAAATATTTTGACCAAGAAATATGGTACAAGATCTGGAACAAACCTATTATACCTGCAGTTACTTCACCAGAAAAACAGGTCTATAAAATGGTTAAAAAAACAATACATAGATTGTAAAAACCCAAACAATTCTGTTTTCAATGCTTCTGAGTCAGAAATCCTATCATTTAACCAAGAAATAAATATTCATTAGTAAAATATTAAAAGTGATTATTGGTGAATTGAAATGAAAATAATAAATATTGCATTTCTGTTTACTGAAGAAATATGAAAAGGAATGATGAAAAAGGTTAAATGAATGATTTGATGAAAATAAATGAACAGAAAGAAATGCAGTGATATAAATACCATATGTTACTACATGTACTGAATACTGAACACAATATAAAGACTTTAAAGTAATGTAAGGTCTTTACTAAAATACGTAGCTGGTATAACATCTAAATGCTTTATGATGATATGCCCTGTAAAAGGGGAACTGAAGAAGACCAGTGGCCAAAACGTCTTAAAATTGTTTACTGTTAATCAAGAAATTATTGCAATGTTTTTATTAATGCAAATATATATCATGTTCGCAATAATACAAACTGCAATTCATAATTTCAGAAGTGATTTTCCATCACAAAATTTTGCAATCACTTTAATTAGATATCGTATTTTCCCCAGTGATCAGTGATTTGCAAAAATAAATGCATGCATTAATTTCTGATTTACTACCACAATGTAAAGAATGTCCCCTTTTGGAATTTTGGCACAAGAAACTTAACGTGCAAATAATTATTAAAAGCTTTTACTAAAAGTCGTGTACACTGGTAATTTTCTTAAAGATCAAAGCATAATTGCAGCAGACTTTAGTCATATTTTAAACTACTGTAAATTTTAAGAAACAGTCTTTCATTGTGTAAGTATGCAATTACATTACAATTATGAGTAGTTTGTGATGACTTATACCTCTATGTCTCCAGATTCCACCTTCTTACTAGCTTGACCTAATTCCACACTTCTGACACGTTGAGCAAAGTTCAAACTACAGATAGTTTCTGCCACATTTTTCTCGACAGGAGCTACCTGTACTATCATTAAAGTCTTGCTATCACCACCTGTATCATAAAGGAATGAGGTTATTTATAAATCAGAAATAGTAGTATGATATCCAAATAATTGAACTTTGCTTTACACTGAAACATAAAATTATGGCTCTTCTTAGGATCTATGCCATATAAAAATTCTGGAAACTTTGCCATATTTTGAAGAAATATGCAAATTGTCATGTATGTGCAATGTAAGTATACAATTTTAAAACACTTCATTTGTAAATTAAAATAAGTTGCTGAATTTGATAAACTAAGAAAGAATATGTGTTGTTTGTAAGTCTATTTTTTTGTTGGAGTCAGATGCTGTTGGTTGGCGTAGTCTGTTGTACTGTCTAATATTTTTGATAATTCCTGTTATTTTATTTTCTGTATTATGCACCTTTCTTGGAAGCCCTGGATTTCTTTCATATGATTCTTTCATAAACTTTTCACAGTGAATTCAACACAGTGTTTACACAGGTAGCAAAAGAAGTTCAACATGGTCTATCAAAGTGTAAGCCAAGTGTAAATCAAGGTAAGAAATTCTACCGGACCAATCACATTCAAATATTTGTATATATGTATATCATATAAGAATTATAAGTTAAACACAGCCTACCTAAACTATCTTGTAACAGATATGTGAGCTTAGAGTTTCTGTAGGGTACAAAATTCTGTTTAGACCTCAAGGCATGTATAACATCTCCAAGGGAAGACAGAGATTTATTGATATTCTGAGCTTCCTTCAGTCGAGTACCATCAGCTCCTGATTTACTCACTCTCTCTGATCCTGCTAAATCTACCAGGTTCAGTTTACCTATAATATAACATATCATTCACTAACAGAAATCCTTCTATTAATATTGACTTACTACCCTTAACTATACAAATTCAAATTGATTATTCTATAACTAGTTTTAGCATTATACCTTAACTACAACTCTGTCACAAGAAACAATATTTGAATATTAAAAGTTGCTTTATTGTATTCCTACAATCTGGTTTGTACTATATATAAGTATAAGCTTGCAATTGACTAAGTATGTGTATTACATTCAAACAAACACACAGATAATAACTCATTTTCTCACAACTCGTTTAACTTGTTGTTTAAAATAAAAGAATGTGTCTGAGGACAGGAATGTCCACGTTCAAGCTTGCTTATAATACATGAAAATACTTTTTGATTGATTGATTAGTGTTTGGTGCCACTTTCACCACTACTGTGCTATTTCGTGGCGGTCAGTTTTCATTGGTGGAGGGGAAGCTGGTGTGCCCAGAGAGATCCATCGACCTTCGGAAGGAAAAATGACAATTCTAGTCAATTAAGATTGGAGTTGAGCCTTCCTGCCACGTTCCTGATTCATACTCACAACCTCAGTGTTGACTGGCTAGTGATACAGTAGTTTGACTACTTACACCATTCGGCCACCGAGGCCCCAAAATACTTTTTGAGAGCATTTGATGTCACTGCTAGTTTTTGAAAAGTTCTTTTTTTCTAGTCTTAGGTATTTTTGTGCTAAAATCCGAGCATTGTGCTTAGCATTGTGTATGAGTTTCATAAATTCTAAATTAGAAAAACGTAAGTTAAGAGTGTGGAAACGATAAAATTTGCAATTTTTCAAGTTATAAAAGGGCATAACTTTAGAACAGTAAGTTACTCACTGCCAAAATTCAAACTCTATCTGCGAGTTTTGGGTCTTAGCTTTGTGTATGAGTTTTAAAAAATGTTAAAATAACTATAAATACAATTCAAATGCTAGAATATTAGTTAATACCCATGTAAGTTTGTGTTAAAACATATTCTGACTTACTTCATTTGGTATAACATTAGAGAGGGTGATTCAAAAGTCCTACTGAAATCAGTGAATATACTTAGATATATATCTGTTTAACTAGAATTCTTTTCTTTTCTAAAGTTATATCAAATGAAATATATTTGATGGAAAATACAACACTAATTGCTATGAACCATTATTCAAACTAAAAATAAAATATAAGAAACATAATTATTTTATTAAATTTTACCGCTAGTTTTAGTGTTTGTTGTCCTATTGACCCCTGTAACAGTTACACATAGTAATGCATGTGATCTGGACGAATGTTCATTCATGTTTGTTGTTGCTGTTGCTCTGTTCTTCTGACCAATTGAAAATACCTGTCAAACATAAAATATTAGATGAATGCTGGGGAAAAGTGCAATACACATCAATACATTTATAAATAACATCTAAACTAATTAATGTGTCAGCTGTTTCCTTTTGTTTGAAACTTGGTCTTTTGGAAAACTACAGCTTTGAGAATATGGACTCCTTTAGAATTTCAAACATTGTGTTACATGTACCAATAAATATACATTAAAAAGCCATTTTATTCTTATTTTTTAAATGTAGTATTTCTGTGATAATATCTAAATTTTTACCTACTTTTTAATTCGACTTGACTTTTTGGAAAACAGCAGGTTTTGAGAATATGGACTCACAAGAACATTGTGTGCCCACAAATACACATCTAAGCCATTTTTTTCTTATTTCAAAACATAGCATGTCTTATTTATAAAAGTTTATGTGGGTGTATATGAGTGATTCTGTTTTTATAAATAATTTCTATAATTAATGAAGGCATGATGGAATAGTATGAAAACCTACAGGATATTTTTGGAAACAGTTTTCATTCAGTTTTATAAAATACCTCATTAACATCTGCTACAGTACTGACTTCAACAAACGACAGACCAGGTACATATAGGCCACCCCCGTCTGGGTTCATCTTCACTTCCATCTTATAGGACGGATCATCGCTTAACAGATCCCTAAAAGCATTCATTATTTGTTACAAACTTCTTTTCTGAGACTCAAAATAAATTTAATGTGATCAAAATAAATTCAATTGATGTTATTTTTTTCAGATTTAAATCTGTAAGCCTAGAGAAGTTTACTAACTTCTTCTATTTACTCATTTAGGGCTGTTTCAACAAAACATACTTGGGACCAAGGGAAGGCACTTTGAATGTTCAACCGTGGATGGGCATCAAGCACATTGATAATGTTAATGAAATTCTCAATTTGCCTCTATAGATAGTTGCTGTTTTTAAAGTGCCTTCCCTCGCTACCATATTTGTTAATATGGAATAGCTATTACCATTTTTACCAGAAGAAATGCATTAAACCTACAAACAGAATTGGTGCCACTTGTGGAGCACAGACTGCTTTACTTTCCAAAGCACTGGGACCCACTTATGATGGTCGACTTAAAAGTTTTCATTTTGGCTGTTTTGTTGACTGCTGTATTTTTTTCATTTTGGCTGTCTTTTAATGGTCTCTAATTGTACCTTCTATATGTTCCAACCTTTCTTAAATAAGTCTGCTTTTTAAATTCTTTGACAACTTATGTCTACCGGTATTCAATATTCCCTTCCTTAGCATTTTCAATTTTTTTCAAATAGCAATAAATCCAGAGGAGTTATTAGTCATAAGGCTTGTATAGTCAAAATGTGACCCCTAATGAAAAATGATGGCAGTAATTAAGTATAAGGTGTATTTTCATCATAAACAGATAACAGTATTTTTGGCTAAACTATGAAGCACAAGAACAAGATTTATCAATTTACCTGATCATTTCATTATAGATTTCTATAGCACTGACAGTAACTGTAAACTGCCAGTCGCCTCCCCTGGTTGACGTTTCACTGAATAATTCTTTCAATGCTCGTTGATTTATACCTGGATCACTTTGTGGTCCCTACAGTGAAAAGAAAAAAAAATCCTGGAAAATGACACAAAACTGTGCAAGAAAAACACAAGCAACTTTAGGAGTTGTCCTTTAAATTAATCTTTCTTTTTTGCTAATAGACTTATCAATAAAGTTTTTCATTATACCGTTGTTGTTCAATTATTGAGTCTGGTATTTTTGGGTATTAACACCAATTCAATATATAGTATAAACTAAGACTTAAAGTCTCTTTTGTTCTTTTCTGCGTCTTATTTTTTTCTGGACTCTGGGACATTTGAATATTCATTTAAGACCATATGTTACCCTCAAGATATCGTTTGGTATTTTATGATTCCATGTCACTAGTCTTACCTCCATAGTAAATGTTTTCCCTGAACCTGACTGACCATAGGCAAAGATACACACATTGTAACCACTAGTCTTACCTCCATAGTAAATGTTTTCCCTGAACCTGACTGACCATAGGCAAAGATACACACATTGTAACCACTAGTCTTACCTCCATAGTAAATGTTTTCCCTGAACCTGACTGACCATAGGCAAAGATACACACATTGTAACCACTAGTCTTACCTCCATAGTAAATGTTTTCCCTGAACCTGTCTGACCATAGGCAAAGATACACACATTGTAACCATCAATGCAGGATGTTACTAGAGCCTTTACTTCATCAAAGACCTGAAAATAACAATACAAGCTCAATAAAACAAAATTCCAAGACTGATGTCTTAATTATTCATCTACTTTATTTTAACACAGTACAAATAAGAAATGTAAGTAGTAACTGATCTGTTTATGATGATGATGATGGATAGCTGTTGAATATTTCCAGCGGCAAATTAAATGCATATTCAGGACGAAAACATGCTAATGTTATATGAATATCAACCTTGCTTTGTACTAGACCGACACTCATAGCCGGCTTTTTAAGGTTACAGTCCCGGGGAGACATGTCACCCTACCCAGACACATTATTCTGACTCTGAGCCAACCAGTCTTTGCTCTTACACCTTAAAGACCAAACAGCCTATTGTTGATGCGCATCAACTAACGCAACTTGGTAGTGACATAAAAGCTCTATGACGTTGTTTCTAGCCATGAAAAACACCGTCAAATTATAACGTCCTATTTCGCGTTTTTCACGGATTCCAACATGATGTACGCTTAAAACTACGTCTTCCAAGAAAAGTGGAATTAAGCGTCGCACTGATACCTAGTAGAAATTAAACACAAATGGACACAAAAGATACACTATCTGTAACCTCCGTTCTAATAAAAATAATAATCAAAATATAAATTTTGAACTCGGCTTTTTGCATTGCGCCGATCTGCATTTCACTTTTTTTCTTTCACTTGCGCCGATTTTGTCTTTCATTTGCGCCGATTGTGTACAGGTAAATTATAGGTGAAAGTTATTTTTTTATTTATCATATAAACCTCTTCCGTTAGCCAGTTGTACATATGTTATGAATTGTCAATTATAACATGTATATAACTGTTGTTCCCTGCTCACAAAGGGGAGGTGGGAGTAGAATTTCGAGCAGGATAAGTCAATTTAAAAGATATTTGTGCACTCTCTTTACATCCACTAAAATCACGGAGTAAAATTCTATTTACAGCATTTCAAAGCACCACAATAAAATCCATAAAAATGTAATACTAGTACAATGAATTATTATCTTGCCGAGAATTTATATGCCACACATCTGATATATTCCTTTCTTGTCATTTTATCTTTTCTATACTTGTTGTACTTGCCAATAACGAAGTCCATCTTTTCTTTCTCGTGTCAAAACGAAGTTCTCGAACAATATGACTAAAATTATCTTAAACATAAGGGAACACTATTCATATCCATATATTACCATGCAATATACATTCTAAGTTTACTACATGTACATGTATTTACTCGTATAGCAAATAAAGTATCGGGGCTAGTGATAAAAAGAATAAAATAGGCGCTAATGAAAGAATCAAATCGGCGCAAATTAAAGATGGAATTTTTTTTAAATCGGCGCAAATCTCGTACGCCCGTGTAACTTTACACTGCAAAATTTATATGACCTACGCTTAGAATTTTAACTTAATATGTGATTTTCAAAACTGAGTTTTCAGAAGGTTAGGCCGATAAACAATATTTTCTAGAAGTTTCGATATACTGACAACGTATACATGTTGAGATTAACTTATTTCTTTAAGATTCTCGTAAAATAATGGTGATCTTGCAATGAAGTTAAATCTTATCTATACTGCTTAATTGACAAAATCTTATAGTAAAAATAAAAATGATAAAGGTTCATTGTCTTTTGTCATTTGTTTCATTTCAAATTGTCTCAAGGAGAAATGATAAAGATTTCGCCTGATCTCACAGAAGCTTAAGGCAAAAAATATAAGAAATTAATATATTCAGTGAATGTGAATTAAAATAAAAATTTACAGTTTTTAAAACTAAACTTGTTGTAAATTTAACATGTGACAAAAACAATTGCTTCAAGAATAAGATCCAACATAAAATTTCTCACTTTCAAAAAGCTACAATGACCAGAAAGATTGAAAACAAATTTGGATTTTCAATGCCAGCAATCAATACATACAACATTGTCTTTGTTTTAATTTCCAAAATGAGCTATTTAGATTCATAATATTTCATCCTGTTTTGAGAAATACTTTATAGTTTTCAACGGAAAATTATTTCTTAGATTCTAAATCAATTTTTGAATTAAAAACTTATTTGTATTTTATATTGACTGTCTCGTTTATTCAAAACACGTAAGGTAGTTATAACGGGGATCGTATTTTATGATAGGTAAAATGGATGTAAAACGTTTTAGAATCAAAAACTTTAATTCATATATTATACCTATAATTTTAATTTTCTTATATTTTAAATATTCAGAAATAATGAATCCACAAACTAGATGGAATAATTTGTATACGCTCGTCTTAGTCGTGACACATAATGGTATAAAGAAGTCCGTCCGTGCTAATGTCTGTCCGTCTGTCAACAGTAGCGAAAGCCTGAGTGCGCTAGGGCGAAGTTCTGAAATTGACGAGACAAAAAAACCCACACATCTAGTCTAATATAGTCAAATAGTCTGTAAGTTAGCCAGTGTCATCTTTCATTTCTCTTTTTATTTTCAATGATTTTGCTAATGAGAGGGAGATGACAAAATTAGACTTTCCTTTCTAAAGCGTCGTAAAAGTTATTTCGAACAATTTTTCATTCCGACGGATGATGTTTCTGAAGGTTAATTTTGTGCGGCAACAACATCATGAGATCTGATACTGATACATACATGTGATCTCTTGTATTACCGGATAATAAAGTAGGTGAATATAGTTGTTATTCTTGATTCTTGAAAATTTAAATGTGGGTTTCAAACGTCTAATTTGCAATTATTTTCAAACAGTACGCCAGCAAGGAAAACTTGTACTATGACGTCAGATTCAATGTTCTGAAGAAAGACAACTCTTTTCTTCAAAACGAACGAGAAAAAAACATGAAAATTAATCATAACTTTTTTGAAAGGTCGGTGACATATACATTTTTTTGCTTTATTTTGAAGAGTACACATGGCACTTCCCTTCTTGAAATTTTTATGAAAAAATCACTGGTAGATATTTTTTAATACTTGAAACGTTTTTCATTCTTGCGTTTTATTTTTGGCGGGAATGAAATAAATCATATTTTTTAAGATCAAAACAATAAGAGTCTTAAACTCTTGAACCTGTATTTGATAGACACAAATCTACTTTTTAACATGAAACAAGAATTATGCTTGTAGGTTCGATATAATGGGATTTTTTGAGAGTTTAAATAACAAGCTAATATTAGGGAAAACACGAAACTGCGGTTGCTATAGTGACAAAACTAAGTCGGTGACCCCCAATTTTTTTTATCATATTTTGTTCCTCAAATCATGAAATACCTTCACACAAAATTTGAAGGAAAAATCACTGGTAGAACTGAATAGGCTGTTTGGTCTTTAATGCCATGTGCTTAACAGGGAAGCAGCAAATACCAATTTTAAAGTTTGATTTGACCCAACCAGAGTTCTAAACCCTCGACCTCCCACACTCGAAACGAACATGGTATCACGAGACCATTGAGGCTGTGATGTGTTTATGAGATGAATATGAAACAAGAAATAATTTGCAAGACATATATTTTGACATCTCACTTGCTAGCAATAAATCCTTATGACTTAAACGAACCTCAACAATTTTTGGGGTAATTTTGCTTTCAAAAGAATCCATTTAAATTGCAAAGGACAATGGTCAGATGGTCAACAATAGAAGAAAAAAAAAACAGTTGTCAAACCAGTAAAAAAAAAAAATTGTTTACTGGATTGAATGTCTAATAAAATTTTGTCAATTTAAAGTTATATAATTATTGATTGTCCAGTGAAATGTTTAATGGACTATTATTTATATTATCCTTATAAAAAGCAATACCCCATTTCTGTATTGGTCTTGTAAAAGAATGTGATCGATTAAAAGAATGGACTGTTATCTAGAAAACGATTGTAGATGCATTCCAATATCATCTTTAATATAGCTATAAGGTATACAGCATCTGAATAACACTTACAAATTGAATAAATTAAGGTATGTAATTCGAGAAATTAATTTGAATTAATTATCTCATTTTGCAGTATAGGTTTGAATGGCTGAGATAAAGGAGCATTGTTATGTAAAGGTAAAGAACCAAAAGGAACAGGTATTTTTTAGGGTATTTTTGTCTGAAGGCAATTCAAGGGTGTTTGTTGGTTGTGAGGAGCTGGGAGTAGAAAGGAGCTTTTCTATGTTACAGTAAATAACAAAGAGTGTTCGGATGAATTACAATTGCACTTTACCAATCAAAACAAATAAAATAGCTTGATAACAGTGTTCAAGTACACTTCATTAATGTCACGTACACAATATAGGTCTTTTATTATCTACATGTATTTTGAATACTTTGAACTGTAAATACCTGTACTACAATGTGAAAAGTAGATATCAAATTATTAAACAAACAAATCAATTTGAAATGATAAAAATTATATCTCTTAATAAACATAGTTATAACAGATGATATCTGTTTTAGAATACACTCATATTTAACTAATCTGAAGCATGGCTACAGCTTTGACGCAGGAACAATGTCCTATTCTATGTCAGCTCTGTGAGGTAGATATCAGAGTAAAATGGAAATGTCAAAACTGTGACTTGTTGCTCTGTACAAAGTGTAAAGATACAGTGCATTCTAACATCAAAACCGAGAAAGAACACACAATCATAAATATTAACCAAGTAGCAAAACAAACTGAGGAGGTTTCTGGTTACCTTGACCCTGAGAAGCAAGAAGGTCAAGCCATAATGACAACAGATGGAAGCCAGTCTAATGTGCCACCCAAAGTTACAATAACAAATGTAACCAAATATCAGACCAGAAATAAAGCTAGAATTAATAAGTTAGCTATATCCTCCGATAATTCACTATGGATTTCGCAACTAGGAAATTTAGAGAAAGTCAAAGTAAAAGGACAAAATCTGGAGGTGCTGTGCAGTTTCAATTATTTAAGCAATGCAATCATAGGCAGTTTAAGTGACATTGATATCACTAATTCAAATGATCTCCTTATGTCTACACAAGATGAAAAAATAAAGCAAATTAGGTGTAAAAGATTTTTTGG